TTACATGTTGAATTGCTCTTCTTTATAGAAATTTTGGTGCTTGATAATTTCTCCATTTACTATCTGTACAGACAGAGGTCCTTGAGAAAGATTCACACACACACACACACACACACACACACACACACACACACACACACACACACCCCTAATCCTGGTTGTCATTTTTCAATGTGACACCATTTACAAGATCAATACTAATTAGCTGAGAAATGTAACATATTCACCATAACGCCCTCGGTCTAGGTAATAACTTCCTAGTGACTCAGGTAACTGTGTCATTCAGGTAGTGCCAATCTCCATCTCTCGGCCTTCCAGCCTTCCCCCACTCTCTGGACTATAAGAAGACAACCTGAGCTGTGCACTAGAAATGAGAGAAGTGTGTTTATTGTTAGATAGCACTTAACAGTAACTTGGTGAAGAGGCAAATAATTGGGGTTAAAAAGAACCTTTGGATGTTTTCAGGTTAAAAATTGACTACTTCATAAGTATTCCTGAAAAGCAAACAGGTGTTTAGATTGTCGTATGGTCCTCCCATTAAGAAGCTCCCGGGAAGTTTGTATCCAAAATATATAATTTATACAACTCAACATCACCCCCCCCCCAAACAATTCAATAAAAAAAATAGGCAGAGGACCTGAATAAATATTTTTTAAAGAAGACATACAAATGGCCAAAGACAACATGATAAGGTATTCAATATCACTCATCATCAGGGAAATGCAAATCAAAACCACAATGAGATACCACCTTACACCTGTCAGAATGGATAAAATAAAAAAGAGGAGGGGCACCTGCATGGCTCAGTCAGTTAAGCATTTGCCTGCCACTCAGGTCATGGTCCCAAGGTCCTGGGATCGAGCCTGCGTTGAGCTCCCTGTTCACTCCCTCTGCCCTCCACTCGTGCTCTCTCTCTCACTCTCTATCTCATATAAATAAAATCATTTTTTTTAAAGGAGAAATAACAATTGTTGGTGAGGATTTGGAGAAAAAGGAACCCTAGTGGGCTATTGGTGGGAATATAAATCGGTGCAGCCACTATGGGAAATCATATGGAGGCTCCTCAAAAAATTAAAAATAGAAATAACACATGACCCAATAATTCCACCACTGAGTCTTTACCCAAAGAAAATGAAAACACTAATTGGAAAATATATATGCAGCCCTATGTTTACTGCAGTATTATTTACAATAATAATAAGCCAAGATAAGTAAGTGACCTAAGAGTCCATCAATAGATGAATAAGGAAGATATGGTACACACACACACACACACACACACACACACACACACGCATGCACACACACAGAGAGAAATATTACACAGCTATAAAAAAGGATGAGACTGTGCCATTTACAGCAACAGACAGACCTAGAGGATATTATGCTAAATGAAATAAGTCAGATGAAGAAAGACAAATACCATATGATTTTACTCATTTGTGGAATCTGAAAAAAAGCCAAATGAATAAACAACAAAAACCAGAATCAGAGCTGTAAATATAGAGAACAAACTGATGGTTGCCAGAAGGAGGGGTATGGGACAAGGGCAAAACGGGTGAAGAGAAGGGGGAGATCCAGGCCCCCAGCTGTGGAATGAGGACATCACAGGCATGAGAGGCACAGCATAGGAAACACAGTCAATGACATTGTAAGTGTGTTGCATGGTGACAGATGGTAGTTATGTCTGTGGTCAGCATAGCGTACCATACAAGCCCATCAAAGCAGCATGTTGTACACCTGCAGCTAATGTAACACGATGTGTCAACTACACACACATAGCAAGACTGAAACTCATAAGCCAGCCCCAGGAAACTCCTTCATTCGGATATTACTTTGCTATTAATGTTGTAACTGTTAAGGATCTGGCAGTGATGGGGAAAAAATCATACCTAAGAGTTTTCCCTATTTTGAGACCTTCACAAACAGAAGACCTAATTATGGCACTAGCCCACAGGTCTGCAAACTCATTCTATTTTTAGTCTGTGTCCATTCTTCCATCCATCCATCTATCCACTCAACAAACACTGACTTAAAGTGCACTGTGGGGCAGAGCTAGGCCTTAAAAGACATGGAGCTTTCATGGAGTTCACATTTGCTGTATTTTCAAAGTTGCCTTCATTGCCTTTTCAGCTCTTATTTATTAGTGATATTAGAGGTATTATGCTTTTTTCTAGTTAATCAAAATTTGTATGGCGTAAGGAGAAAGCACATACTATGAGAAAAGTCTTAGCCTTCAGATCCTATAGATTATTAATACACAGCTTTATTTCCTTGGATGTTCCTTTAAGTTGTGAATAATTTAAAACACTAATTTTTTTTTTTTTTTTTTTTTTTTTTTGCTGGAGGGTTTTCTATATGCTTTGCAGAATTCCTTTCTTTTAATGCAGGATATACTAATTATTCAAGGTTATTGCTAATCTCAGTTATTATGCTATATGATAGCATACAGCATATAACGGGCTGTGTTGGCCTCTGTATCGAGATAAAAGATCATTGGCATCGACACTGAGTAGCCCTTGACCACTGGGATTTTGGGTGTTCTTTTGCCTTTTCTCTCTCTCTCTCTTTTTTTTTTTCAGTTTATCTGCCTTCTTTTACTTTATGCTGGTAATATCAAAGTATTTGCTCAAATTCATGACACTTATTTACTAAGTTACTATGGTCTTAGAAACAATCTAACCATCTAACAAGACTGTTAAACAATTTAACTAGAGGTAAGGTAAGCTGTTAGGGAGGATAGAAAAGGGCCTTCTGTGAAAAGGTAAGAACTTTATCTTTGTGATATCTCTTTTGGCTGTTCAAAGGCTGGTTTTTATTTTCTTCTTGTTTCTTTATAATGTTATAAATAGGTAACTTTGGCTGGGTAGCTGTGTTCTTGATAATTACATTTATTCTTCTACAGAATGTAGGCTTCCATGTGGCTTGACTTTTTTTTTTAAGGGATTCTGAGAACTATACTTTGCCACTGGTAGCTATTTCAGCTGTTTAAAAATTATAAATTGCTTACTATGGCTTATTAGCGTGGTATCATGAAACAAGAGTAAGCGGTAGATACTTTGTTACAACTGGTCCATTTTGACATGAATATTCTTTTCCCGTCTACGTTGGTTTGGCAAAAGCAGGGCTCCCTGGAAGTGTATGCTGTGATCTCTAGGCTTCCATACTTAGTCATTTTGGTAAGAATATGGGGAAAGTGAGACTTGTTGACTAAATCCCAGAGACCGTAAATCAAAAAAGTGAAAACACCCTGCCTTACTGCTTACCAGTCCAATGTCTTCTCAGATATTCTGGAGGAGATGGGGTAATGCTGAGCAGGACTCAGAGGACAGAACTGGGGGCTTAGTGGTCAAGAATGGCTTTACTGGGATCTTATTAAAGAGCCATGAGGAAAGAATATTTCTATGTCTGGAGATTTCCAGACAAACCAAATGGAGAATGCTAAAATTTGTGATTTAATAACAAAAAAAAAAAAAAAAAGAAAGAAGAAGAAGAAGTACTGGGAACTTTTATTAAGTACTCCAGAAAGTTGGAAGGTTTTTTTCCTCCTAGAAATGACTGGTTTCACAGTCTGACAGGTTAAGATGTCACAGAAGCTGCACATTTGGTGTTCTTTTAAAACTGATGCCATTTGACGACATAAGAGGGTCGATGAGAGAAGAGTGGGTCTCCGTGTCTTATTTAGACCTTTTAGAGCCCAGGATCATTTTGTACCAAACTTTTGCTTGCTCCCAGTCATTCCTAGCAAAGGGCCACACTGAGGTCTTATTTTCTACAGCTGGGCTGTCTACTCTGATAGCCATTTGCCATCTAAATTTATTAAATTGAATAAAATTAAATATTCAGTTCTCAGAAGCACAGGTCACTTGTTAAGTGTTGAAGGGCCATGCATGTCTAGTGGCTATCGGACTGACCAGCCCAAACGTGGGCCATTTCCATTACAGCAGAACACTGTATTGGAGAATGCTGTTCTAGAGGCTTGCCTCACCCCTACAGAGGGCGTGAGGGTCTCACCAGGAACTCTTGGGGCTGGTGGTTTTATCTCAGTAAATGCCTCGACGGGCCTGACTACAGGACTTTCTCTGAACTGTGTCCTACAACACTGAAGCTCTACCTCTTGGCCCCTTTCTGAGACAAGGTCCCGAGAGAGCTCTAGGACTTTACACTTAATCCTGTGTCTTCAGATTCCCTGTCTTTGTATTTTGAAATCTGAGTTATTTGCGTTAATTGGGTCTGTAACTAACCAACCAATGTTCTGGCTGACTCTGTGAACAATGGAATGTGTGTAGTTTGCTGTAGAAAAGACCCTTAAATTGGGAGCTGAACAAACTGAAGTGCGAGGCTTTAGGGCTCTATGGTTCGACTCATCTCAACAACACACAGAGGGCCAACTGACGTTCTCCCCTATAAGCTGTCAAGAAATGTGTTCCATTAGGTATTTTGCTTATCTATCTATATATTTACTTTCTTTCTTTCTTTTTTTTTTTTTCTTTTTTTTTTTGGTTGAGGGTGGGGATGATGAAGTAGCTAAGGAATGGAGGAAGTATTTAGGTTGAAAACAAAACAAAACAAAAAAAAATGGAATTTGAAACCCAAGGCCCACAGGGAAGAATGATGAGGCTTAGATACATGTCAGAATTTCCTATGGTTTCACTGAGGAGTTGCTACTTTTATCTCCTCGGAGCTTGGTGATCACTCCGATTGGATATGAAGGTGTCCTCGGAGCTTGGTGATCACCCCAATTGGATATGAAGGTGTTGCCAGTTAGGTCCCTAAGGAGACCTGGGACGGACACTGCTGAAGACTCGATGTCACTGTCTACAAGTGACTTTGGACAATTGTGGAGAAAGAGGGTTGAGTGAGAAAAAAGTCTGAGCAACTGACTTAGACAATTCATCAGGTAGGATTTACCAATCAGCTTGGACCCACTCATTGGAAAGCCCTGATGATGGGCATTCAAGGCCCTACGTATGCTCTGGGGAAACCCTCCACCAACCTACTTGTTATGAAAATCGTAGATCTCCTGGATGTTGCCAAAGATGACATGTTCCTTATTAAGGATCCCAGCGGGGATCTCCTCCACACCGCTTGTCATTTCCCACAGGTAGGTCTGTAAGACAGCAACAGCTTCATCACAGGCAAGAACTACAAAATGCAGACAAAGTAAACAGGTCTTTACACTGGAGGGGTAAGACTCAGACCAGGCTTGCATGTGGAGTGTGGAACATGAGATGGTGAGATACCCAGAACAGGAAGAAAGAACACCCAAATGTTCTATTATTTTCAACCGTTGCCAGGAAAACTCACATCCCGAGCTTCACCAAAGCACAAACTCCACATCCCTCTTACTTATTAAATGTGTGTGGTTAAAAGTGTGTTGGGTGGGGGTCAGCGGGTACAGATTTGCAGACTCAACTGAAGTTCATTGACCATGTCATGGTTTTTATTTAGAATTTAAGTCTCCTATATGTTTTTGCTGGGTCCAGCTCCAGTCTGAGAAAAGTTTCTTTTCAAAAGCATTTTAAGCTCCCAGGCAATTACTACTGACTTTGGGAGCAAGATTTCCTCTGTTGGCTTTTATTTGTGAAGCTCTGGGAGAAGACAAAGAGCATTGAGCTTCTCTCAAGGACTTGACACTGGCAAGGCTGTCATTTTTCTAATACAGCTGTGCACTAATGACTGCAAGACTTACCTCCAAGCACTCGTGTAAGTCCCTCACATAAGCCTTCTCTGTCTGCAGCAATTCAGCCATAATGAATCTAGAAGAAAACAAACGGGCTTTTCATTGGTTCAAGATATAATACCTCCCTCCTTTCACACTTCACTCCCCTACCCCCGGCTTTCATGACTTTCCCGAACGACCCACGTTTCGACTTTACCAACATGTCTCTTCCTTTCTTCCAAACTCCCTGCCTCTGAGTATTCTCCTCAGAGTCCCTGTCACCTTGACCCCTTGTTCTGTATCCCTCCAGCCTGGGTATGTTCAGCTAGTTCCACATTCTCTCCCTTTTCTGCCCCAGTTCCACCGCTGTGCCATGCCGTGCTGACACACATGTGCTCTGGGTTGCACGGGTGTGCTTGCGTGCGTGCAGAAGCACGCGGTACTACTTATATTCATTTCTCAGCTGCCTGTCTTCCGCTCACAGCTCCTGGAATGATGATTTCTGTTCAACAGAACTGCTGACTTTTACCAAAATGCTCTGCAGTCCCATCAGTTAAGCCAGGTTTAAAAGCCAGGCGCCCATGCCCCAGACGCTGCCACGGAGGCTGGCGGGTAGCAAACTTCGTCTGTAAAGAGCTAGACAGTAAATATTCGTGGGCCCTTAAGTCTCTATCACAACCACTCCACTTTGCTGCTGGAATGTGAAAGGAGCCATGGACTCTATGTAAAAATAAATAAATAACTAGGTAAGCGTTGCTGTGTTCCAACAAGACTTTATTTATGGACACAACAGAGTTTCATCTAATTTTCACACTGCGAAATATTTTTCTTCTGGTATTTTTTCAACCTTTGAAAAATATAAAAAATAATGTTGCCCTACAAAACAGGTAGGGGGGTCAGATTTGGCCTGTGGGCCACAGTTTGCTGACCTCTGGCCTAGATTACCGTGTATGCTTGGACACAATTTCGAAGCGGGCTCGCTTATAACCCGCACCGCACAGCACAAGTTAAGGATGTTGTGACTGCTCTTCAGTCTCCCCTAAAGGAAAGCTTGAGCTCCGCACCTGCAAGGAGAGGGCTCCCTTACTCTTGGGCCCCTGAACAACACGATGTTCCCGGGCAGTTATTACACTGATGCTGCCTGCCTTCATTGTAGCGTACTGACTTCATTTGCTTTCTTTCACAGATTTTTTCTATAAATGGTGCTTCTTAGCTGACATGTGATGTAGTAATATCTAACTGAGCCAATGTATAGATTTATACATTGATCTTAGGCGATGTCAGCTTTTCATGGTAGCTCATAATGAAAACCGCTACTTGTAGGTATCTTGGTCTTCACATGAAAATTTTGAGAATGATTAGCCCCAAAGTGTCCCCTGTTGGAAATTTCACAAGAAATATGAAAATGGGCAGCATCTTTTTCCGGACCTTTGTCTTTGTAGGATTTTCCTTAAAGTAATCCATTGTGCTAGCAATGACCTTTCCATTAATATTAAAGTAGTGATTCAAAAAAAACCCCTCCCTTTTGCAGGAGTTCATTAGCCACTCTCTTACTATTCTATGCTATTGGAAGAGTGGAAAGGGCATGAGCTTTGAAGTCAGACAAATAGAAACTGAATTATTATTTTGTCATTTACTGGAAGTAGGACTGGCTTTCTAAGCCTTGGACTCCTTACTTATAAAACAGCTGACCACAGTGGGTTGTCACAAGGATTAAATAAGACCATATAAGCAAAGTTTCTTACACATTGCAGGTGTTTGGTAAATAAGGAAAGAAGGAAAATCAGAAGGGACATAATCTGACATGCCTTAAGAAGTTGTCTTTGTTTCACTGCCTTGGGTTTCTGGTATTCCTCTACCTTGTCCCTTTTTCTCCATCTGCTTCCTGAAGTTTAACCTGTCTTCTTCATAATTCAGCTCCATTGCCCTCCACCCCATTTTGTTTTCTTTTCCAGCTGTCCTTTCCCATCCTCTGGCTATTTGGTGTCCCAGAGAGAGTGCAACAGGAAGATTTGGCCAAGTACAGGCTCTTTATTTCCCTTCCTGTTATAGGCTGAATTGTGCCACCCCGTCCCCCATTCATATGTTAAAGTCCCAAACCCTAGTACCTGAGAATGTAACCTTATTTAGAAACAGTCCTTTACAAATGTAAACAGTTAAGATTGGGTTATACTGGAAAAGGGTAGGCCCCTATTTTAAAGTGACGGGTGTCATTAAAAAGGAGAAATCTGGATATAGGTATATATTCAGGAAGAACCCCATGTATACCTGTAGCCAGCCATCTAGAGGTAAGGAGAAAGACCTGGAACAAATCCTTCCCTCCCAGCCCTCAGAGGGACCAGACCTGCCAACACTTTGATCTCAGACTTCTAGTCTCCAGAGCTGTGAAGCATTGTATTTCTGTTACTGAAGCCATCCAATTTGTCATACTTTGTTACAGCAGCCCAATAAACTAATACACTCCCCAGATAAAACACAAGCTCTGGACTTTGCAGAACAGCTTCAGTTTCTCCAGCTCCAAGGGACCTGTTTTCCTACTTTATTTTGATAAGACCAACTACACTGGGCTTCTTAATTTTAGGACATACTACTTTTTTTCCCAGCGCTACCCAAAAGGAATCTTTCAAAATATTCTTCATAAAGCTCTTGCAAAGATCGCTGGGTATGTGTAACTTTCTAACACCAATATAAAGAAAGCAGAGCCATCACGAAGTGGTTTTTAATGTGGACGTGGTTCATTGTTTCCACTAACCAATGCTCTATAATTCTTGATTAGTGTGAAATGTGGGTGGAAGCATCATGTCTGTCTATTCCAACCTCTGTGGGTGGTCGGGAGGACACATGAAGCTGTACAAAGGAACATGTAGCAGTGAAAACCAAGCATAGTCATGAGGAGCTTGCTACGTGGGTAGAAGCTCCCCAAAACATACTCTTTCTTCCGGGCTGACTTCCGCTTCTCTTCATTGACTTCGTGGTTGGCGTCCCGTAGCTTGACCTCACGATCTGAAAGGCTTGCTGGGATGATGTCCAGCTCTAGGTCCTTATTGTCCTACACAAAGAGAGATCGCAGAGGTCACCTTGGAGATGCCTTGGGAGAGGAACTCATCAGAGTCAGGGGAGGTGGTAGAAGGCAAAAAGAGAGGAAGATACAAGGGAGCAGGTTGAAAAAACAGGGAATCCCACAAATGTCCACCTACAAGTCCTCTTCTTCATGAAATTTTTTTTTTTTCAATTAAGAAAGGTATAAAATGGTCACGGCTAATATCCATGGCAAGGAAAAAAATAAACACATTTAATAATTAGTGTCATATTTCCCCAATGACTTTAGTTCTGATTAATCTAAATGTATACACACACACACACACACACGTCTAAAATTGGTTATTAACCATTAAAATAGACGTGAAACAGAAATACATACATATATAAGAAAACTTTCATTTGTCAAAGGAAAATAATAAAAGCCAGTATTTTTATTTAAAAAAGCAACTTCTCTTGGAAAGAGAAAGCTAAATGATAGAACGATTATTAAATTTGCCCATCCCTGCCTATTTCAAACACTGTTTTCTATTTATACAGGATGGAAACCTTCAGGAAAAAAAACTCACCGTTTAAAGCCTAGGGGAGGTGTTATTATTTCTCCCAATTTAGTGGTTTAACCAGTTCACTCTCTAGTCTGTTCTGCTTCAGAGCATTAGTCTATTTAAAGATTTAAGAATTAGAAATCCTAGGATTAAACTGCCAGCCTATATTTAGCTCTTAATTCATAGGTTACTGACCTCTATTACAAAGAAGAGATTAAAAGTCAGTCTTCCCTTGATTCTTGGCAAACAGTATCTCTTTTCAGTTGAAATGCCCAATAGCCTTTGCACAATTGCATCCCTTACTCCTGAAAGAACACTATTATACATCCTGGGGACCCTAACATTTGCTGATTAACATAATTGGGTGGAAGATGGCACTGATGAAGCCAAGGTAAAGGTTTAGTCCTCAAAGTCAACAGTTAACTCTACACACAGAAAAACTCTGTTCTGTGGCCATGGGCCCCAGCGCTGGCCAGCCAGTTCTGTTATTTAGCATTAATCATGAGGGGCTGAATCAAAATCCATCCCCCCGACTAGAAAAATCACACAAGGCAAGTGTTCTAGGGGTCAAGAGCTCAGAAAGACTGTTCCGGAAAGCCCACTTTCCTCAATGGTAATGAGAGGAGTGGTGCCCAGAGATGAGAAGGGAGGATGTCGCAGCTGGGCAACCCCATGCCTACCTCTGTGTTGACGCCTAGCGCTTTCTCCAGAGAGTACCGGTACTTTCCCATCCTCAGGGAGAAGTCTCTGTAATGCTTGTCCACCGTGGTCACCCATTTCCTGATCTCTGTGGCATGAATGTGGCCTTTTTCCACAAAGCTATCAGCCAGTTGAATCAGAAGCTTCACCTTCTCCTTTGTTTGCTGTCCCAAAAGATGGTCTCAAGTTACTAGATTTATGCTCACAGCCCTTCACTCCCATCCCCCTTTCCATCACTCCCACCCCCCTTTCCTTCACTGCAGCCACAGATACTCCCTGCCTGCCTGGGTTTATAGCCCAGCTCTGCCCCTAGCTGGGAGGTCTTGAACAAATTACCTAAATCCTCTGTGCCTCTGTTCTTTTATCTACAAAACAGGGATCATAATAATCCTCTGTCATAGGGTTGTTGTGAGCATTTCATGAGTTGACCATGCAGAATGCTCAGAACAGTGCCTGGGGCACAGCGCGCACATTAGGAGCTCAGGAAGCGATACATGTTAGCCATCATGATTACTGTAAGCATCTTGTACATTAATACGGTCCTTTAGCAGGTCACAGAATAGGTTAATGTCACATCTGAGACTCATTTGAGTCTTAAAGCATCTCTAAAATGTGGGTGGCAGAAGGTGGTGTGGGTCTCCTCAAACCACAGATAAAAAAAGCCGAGGCTTAGAGAGGCTTAGGGCTCGTCCAAGTTCATCCCACCTGTAAGTGAATAATAGCACCTATTGGCTTCTGGACCATGGAGCCTAGTTCTCTCCCTTCATTGCAGCGGCCTGAAGGAGGCTTTGTCAACAGCTTGGGTGGCACATGCTAGGATCTAAAGAAATCCAATGAGCAGATTTCAGAGTAAGGTCTGTCCCTTTCACCACCAGGATCTTGTCTTTAGTTTCCATTAGAGAGAGAGAGAGAGAGAGAGAGAGAGAAGAGTTAATGAAGCTAGTATCTATTATGGGGCTAAGGAAGGTGGAGTTCTGATATATATTGGATTAATTCCATTTCTACCCAGAGTTTATTCAACACTTACTCTGTCCACACCACTGTGCAGAGGGCTGTGGGAACAGGCTTGGGGGGTAAACAAAAGAAGAGAAAAAGATACTCATTTTCTCCAGTCTGTATCTCTAGAGGGGACAAGATTGTCATGCAGAGTGATTAAATAACTCAGGGCATTATGAAATTGAATGTCAACATGAGAAGTATGTAGAGTTAACACTGCAGGAATTTTAAAACAGGGAAAAATGAAGGTGGGATGGCATGGGCAGGAAAGGTCCATGGGGAGGAGGGACTTACACTGGGAAAGATACAGAAACAAAGGAGATGTTCGAAGAAGTAAACACTTGCTCATCTTTTATCCTAAGGTTGGGTTTTGAAACTCCAAGATCAGGGAAGCTTGATTAATTTTAAGAAAAAGGGAAGAGCATTTGAGTGATATTCACAGAAATAAAATTATTACCTTTTGGATTGGAGGAGAGGAGATTCAAGTGTTGGGTTTTTTTTGTTTTTTTTTTTTTTGAGATTTTATTTATTTATTTGAAGGAGAGAGAGCGTAAGTGCAAGCATAAGAGGTGAGAGGAGGGGCAGAGGGAGAAGCAGACTCCCTGCTAAGCAGGGAGCCTGATGTGGGACTTGATCCCAGGATCCTGGGATCACGACCTGAGTCGAAGGCAAATGCTTGATCAACTGAGCCACCCAGGTGTCCTGGAGATTCAAGTTTTGGATCATCCTAAGATCTAGATAACTGAGGGAAACTGAGGCAGAAAATCTCTGGAGAAACAGCAGAACGGACAGAAGAGCCTTTCTTTACTCCATCCTCCTCCCTCATTTTCCAGGCTCATCTACAGACCTCCCACGAGAGACTGATCCCCTCAAGAAATGCCAGAGAGAGACGGCTTCTGTCTGGAAAGGCAAGCAAGACCAGGGACATGTGGGCTCCAGCTCTCCAGAAACTCACACACTTGAGCCTCCCCTATCTCAGGACAGCGGCTGGTCCCCAGGCTGGGAGACAAGGGCCCAGAAGAGCTTTGTCGTGAAGGAAAGAAGATGGGTCTGAGGATAGAAGAAGTACCTCCTTAACCATCATAAGGCAAAGAAAAACATCATGGGAAATTGGTTAAGATCCCTAGTAGCCTAAGGACTTCTAGCTTACTGCAGTTAGGGTTTTTGTTTTGTTTTTTCCTTTTCCCCTAAAAAAAAAGTTATAAGGTTTGCTATTTATTGAAAGCAGAGATTAATTTTTTTGCAGCCATAATCAAGAAACCTTTATGTAAAACGCTTGAAAATATGTATTCTCTGCTCTTGGTAAAGAGACTTTGGCATGAAATGGGGGTTTTACAACCAGCTGGTGCCAGAAGCCCTCCTGGGAGCTCCATCACTGGAAATCATATCCTGAAACATGGAACTTATAATTCGGATGCAACAAGGAAAATGGTCTGTGGTCAAGAGTATCCCAGGTATATGTGGAACCTGGGGGAGCAAATGGACAGTAAATGGGCTGGTGTAGACAAGCCCTCCTTACGTGGCCTCACCTACTGGAGAGCTGCCGTGCTCTCCACGGCCCCTTAACACTAGCCATGCCAAACTTCACATGCTCTTCCCGTTGCCATGGGTGGTTCCTACTTAGCCTCGCTTGCTTTCTTTCTTTCTTTCTTTTTTTAAAGATTTTATTTATTTGACAGACAGAGATCACAAGTAGGCAGAGAGGCAGGCAGAGAGAGAGAGAGAGAGAGGAGGAAGCAGGCTCCCTGCTAAGCAGAGAGCCCGACTCGGGGCTCGATCCTAGCACCCTGGGATCATGACCTGAGCCAAAGGCAGAGGCTTTAAACCACTGAGCCACACAGACGTCCCTCGGCCTCGCTTTCTATGCAACGACCTTCTTTCTTCTCCTCTCATCCCCACAAGCTGAGTGGGGAATCCCTTCCCAGCATCCCCACGGTGCCACACCATGGGCTACTTATGTGTCTCCTTCATCAGACTGTGCATGTCTAAAAGGGTTCCATCTTATTCATTTGAGCCTCCAAAGTCTAGAAAATAGTAAGGCATCCCATAAATGTTGACTAAGTGAATTAGTGAGTAAATACTGGGTTTGGAGGTAAGTAAAGTGGGACCACCAAGAATTGAGGGTTTATGTTGGAAAAAATTCTGACCCATACACAGGGCCCCCACCATGGCCACAGCACCTACTGGTTGTAGTCTGAAGTGATTTCTTACAAAGGAGGGACCATGAGGGCACCACGCAACCTGCCAAATGCTTGGCCACAGCTGATGAGGTCAGAGGTAAAAACCTGTCTCTCTGGTGCAGCCCATCAAGATGTAGCCACCAACTTCTGTGGCATCCTGGCCTAAAATCTCCATCTAAACAGGGGCAGGGGCAATGTGCTGGATCAGTTAAGGTTGTTTTTCTGGGGATTTGAACTGCATAGGGAGGTGGGTAGGTGGCAGCAGGACAGAAATGAAAATACAGGCAGCGGCCATGAGAAGGGAAGGGCAGGCTGCATCACGGTAACGGTGATCACCTATTCCTGATCCCCTGTCAGGAGATGACCAGACAGGGGCAGGGTGGGGAGTTGCTGGAACTGCCTTTGGTGTAGCTTTCACGTCCAGAGGTGAGACTATGTCACATTTTTTGTTCTGCCCATCAGGCTGAGTCATTTGGATTTTCTTGGACTCCTGGGAGGTTCAGCCCTTGCTTCTCTCTTCTTTTCCACATAGAGCCATACAGTATCTTTTCCATATCATAATGCAAGCCAGTTTGAAACTCAAATCTTGCCACCCAAACAGAGTAACTTATCTAGACTGATAAAATGGGGGTTAAATTGCAGAGGCCTCTGAATGGTGAGGTCAGAAGTAAGGGTGTGATCTAGCAGACAAAAGGGAGTCTTTAAGGGACATAATTCATTTGGACCTGGAAATCTAGAAAGGACATCTCACTTATCTTGGGCTTCATGGGTCCCCTATAATGTATGTTTTCCTCTTTCCATTTTGAATTCTATATAATCTGCTAGAAAACTCAAAGGTAAAAAAGAAAGGGTCAGTAGTTCTATTTTTCTTCTTTACTTCCCCTTTCTCTTCCTTCCTCCCTTTGATCAGTTAATATCATACCATCTTTCCCTAATCAGTGAACCCTATGCTGAATATAGTTTATAAAAAGCCTCTTGGTGTCTTTTGCACATCTCACAGGTCTTTAAGATTTAGCCTTCTTGATATTATTCTTATAATCTCATTATCATCTTCCAATTTGCCTTTCATTGCTGATACTCCTTGTATTTACTGACACATTCTTTGTTGATAGGAAGTTATTGAGCGCCCTGATGTGGGTAAACAGTGCTCTTGAGATAGATCTTCATATTCATTCCAGAGGTGGAACGTTTGTTGCTATATATGAGAAACTAAAGCTTTCAAAAACATCTATTGCATGTGAGCTATATTCCTCTTGATTCTCAGAAATGCAATGTCCACCTTTTACCTGAACTGTCCGGATTCTCCTTTTCTCAGTCCAAACCACCTGTCTGACAAGCCCAATGTCCCCTTTCCTCATGGCCTGAATTCCTGAATTAGCTAACTTGGTTCAGCTCAGGCTCCAGTCACTTTTGTTATCACTTAATTCTCTCTTGTTAAGAAGAATTAAGTCCAATTTATCTCAAAGCTTCTTTCACTTTAAGAGATAAAATGACCAGTTTAAAAAAGCATTTTTCTTTCCTCACTGGGATGATCAAAACCCTGATGAGATACCACTTGATACCCTCCAGGATGGCATTATGAAGAAGACGAATGATAACTAGTATCGCAGAGGACGTGGAGAAGTTGGAACTCTTCCACACCACTGGTGGGGATGGAAAATGGCACAGCCACTTCAGAAAACAGGTCGGCAGCTCCTCAAAAAGTTAAAGAAGAGTCACCATATGGCTCCGCCATTCCACGCCTAGGTAGAAAACTAAGAGAACTGAAAAAATAGGTTTACACAAAGGCTTGTCTACAAATATTCACAGGAATACATTGCTCATGGTAGCTCCAAACTGAAAACAACCCAAATGGATAAATAAAATGTGGCCTATCTTTATAATAGAATATTATTCAGTCATACAAAGGAATGAAGTACTGATACATGTTACACCATGGATAAACCTTGACAATATTATAAGTGAAAAGAGTCAGACACAAAAGACCACATATTGTATGATTCCATGATTCTGTTTATATGAAATCTCCAGAATAGAAAAAGACAGAAAATAGACTTGTGGTTCCAGGCCTGAGGGGAGGAAGGAATGGGGAATGGCTGCTAATGGCTACAGGGCTTGTTTTGGGAGTGATGAATATGTTCTGGAACTAGATAGTGGCAATGGCTGCACAACCTGTGAATATACCAAAACCAACTGATTGTAAAATTGAGAAACCAAAGAATCTAAAAAAAAGAAAAAGTTTTGCTATTAGAAAGAAATAGATTATCTGTTTTTTTGGGTGTTGAGTTTGGTAATCATGTCAAAAATGGGCAGAAGACATGAACAGACACTTCTCCAAAGAAGACAAATGGCTAACAGACACAGGAAAAAATGTTCATCAGTCATCAAGGAAATTCAAATCAAAACCACACTGAGATACCACCTTACACCAGTTAGAATGGCCAAAATTACCAGGATAAGAAACAATAAGTATTGGAGAGGAAGTGGAGAAAGAGGAACTCTTTCCCCTTTCACAAGGGGAAAGATTCTTTCCTCTTGCACAAAGCTGTGCAAGTTGGTGCAGCCACTTTGGAAAACAGTGTGGAGAGTCCTCAAAAAATTAAAAGTAGAGCTACCCTGTGACCCTGCAATTGCATGACTAGGTATTTACTCCAAAGATACAGATGTAGTAAAAAGAAGGGCCATGTGTACCCCAATGTTCACAGCAGCAATGGCCACAATCACTAAACTGTGGAAAGACCCAAGATGCCATTCAACAGATGAATGGGTAAAGAAGATATGGCCCATATATACAATGGAGTATTATTCAGCCATCAGAAAGGAGGAATACCCAACTTTTGTATCAACATGGATGGGGCTGGAGGAGATTATGTTGAGTGAAATAAGTCAAGCAGAGAGAGTCAATTATCATATGGTTTCACTTACTTGTGGAGCATAAGGAATAACACAGAGGACACTAGGAGAAGGAAAGGAAAAGTGAATTGGGGTAAACTGGAGGGGAGACAAAGTATGAGAGACTGTGGACTCTGAGAAACAAACTGAGGGTTTTGGAGGGGAGGGGAGTGAGGGGTTGGGTGAGCCTGGTGGTGGGTGTTAAGGAGGGCAGGTACTGCATGGAGGACTGGGTGTGGTGCATAAACAATGAATCTTGGAACACCGAAAAAATAAAATAAAATTAAGGTGTTAAAAAAAGAAAGAAATAGATTTCTTCCAGCTGTCCAGATGATTAAGCTTTCCTCCAATCATGTGTCTTGACCTCTTATAAAAATTGTGAAACCCTCAACAGGAAAATATCTTGTATATTCTTCTAACCAGACTTTCTACAGCCTACCACAGTAAGAAAAATTTTGTTATCCTCTTATCCCCACCTGAATTCTCTTAATCTTATTTTTATTCTCATACTTGTGGATTGCTATGTGGAAAGAACCTTTTTATGTTCCATGTTTCTTCGAGTTGATGTGTTTCTTCGGAGCAGAGTATAATAATTCAATATACTCAATATGCTCTATTGGCCTGCTTAGTCCTGAAGGCCACCATATTTACTCTCCTGTGGTTTAAGGTCAATTTGGTTTCCATTTCCAATACACTTTATTGGTTACAAAGATTACAATCCAAGTTGGCTGGTTAAAGGAGGCTTGCCTCTGGGAAGTGGGGCTGGAGTGGAACAGGAGGCTACTGCCTTTCATCAGAAGCTCTTGAAATGGATTCGTTATCCTGTAGATATCCTAATAATGAATAGCCCTAAGACTTGGAACATGTCAGAGGGGAAAATGAAATCCCATTACAGAGTTAAGTTAGGTGGGTGAGGGAAGAGAAAGAGCCAAAGTAATAGAATCATATTAAACATAGATTGGGGGAAGGAAGTCATTGAAATCTACTCAAACTTCTTTACTGCCCATGTTCACAGATACCTGCAGCCTATCTTCAATGCACAATTCAGTCACGTAAGTGAATAAAGTGTGGCTCTTATCCTTTGGGATCTTGCTGGCTCACATGGGAGATACCCCATCACACAGATTACTGGAGAACAGGGTGGTTCGTGGCCACAGGATCACAGAGGGGGAGGCACTCCAGTAGAAAGGTGGGCTCTTTTTGGAAAGTATAAACTAGAAGAAAGAAAATGATATTCTAGGCAGAAAAATGGTATAGAGGAGGTAGAGAAGCAAGAAAATATAGGATGTATCTCTCAGAGGGTAGGAAAATACACCCATTCCTCTGGAGCATAAAATTTGCATGAAAGAATAATGAGACTAAAGTTGGAGAGGTAAGGCAGTGCCATTGTGGATGGAGGCTGTTCACCTGAAGGTGCTGGCGAGCCACTGAAGCTCTCGGACCGGGTGGTAAAATGACCCACCCAGTGTCCTAAAGATGATCAGCAATGATGAGCAGGATGGATAGCAAGGAAGGAACGGCCACAAGCATGGAACCCAGTTAGAGTGGTTGCAACGCAAATGGAAAAGAGGGGAAAGATGGAAAGAAAAATTTTAAATGGACTAAATAATACATTTCCACTTAGGTTACGAAGATTCTGGTCCTAGGAAGTTCTACTACAATATATGGGTAGGAACACCAGTGGATCTGATACCATCCAGCTTCTTAATGACTCATTATTGACGCTAGTTCGAGAGGGGCAGATAGACACAGAATAGGTAATTCAAAAGCTCTTTTCATTTGGATTTGAAAAGAGTTCCGTGTATCTGCCACCTTCCTAGTGCTGTTTGCTGTCGCTGGTATTGAAATGAGTCTCTTATCTAAACTGACAGCTTTCCACACTGAATGGAAAAGCCCCCAAGCTCACTGGAATGCAGAGGGAAGTTTTCCCACTATCAAACGTTCATAGTGTAGGAGTCAGAAAGTGAGAAACCCTTTCTGAAGGATCCATTCATGAACGAGGCTAAGGTTTGTCACAGCAAACTGGAGGAAATTTGCCTTCATGTAAAAGCGATCCCTGGGGAGGACAGGCATTAATACATTCCCCGCCCCCGCCATGACCCCCCACAAAAGCAGTTCTCATCCAGGAAGAGCATCTGCCCTGTGAGGAAGTGATGCCAAGACAGGCTCCCCCACGGCAGGGAGCCCAGTGTGAGGACCGCGGATGCTACAAAGAGCGAACGGAGACAGATCAGATTTTCATTCCAACCCAAGGGTCTCCAGATCAAATCCTGGCTGTGAAAACACATTTCCTCCGACTCTAGCATTTCCTGCCTCAGTGTGAATAGGGGTGTGAGGGTGTGGGCTGTGTGTGCCAGTGCACATTTTGCTCCCCAGAGACCCCAGCCTGGCTCGTTTGCAGGTCTGAGGCCAGATGGAAGTAGTCAGTTCAGGAAGTAAGACCCTCATCTTCTTTGTGAACACGTCCATAGTCATCAGCCTATAAAGCAGACTTCCTAAACCATTCAAACACCAAGAATACGTGGGTCGGTGCAGAGGTGCACACAGGCAGTGTGCATGTCACATGAATACATCCCTCTGCCTTACTGGGTCCAAAAGAACACAGCCGAGTCTAGACCTGGAGCACAAGAGGAATATTTGGAAGCACAGTGCACACGAGCTGGCCTCCCTCACATCGATGCTCCATCCAGAGGCTGCGATTCTCTGGGCATTCAGGCGTCAAAGGAGACCCCCCTACCCGCCCTGTGGTCAGCACTTCGGGGTAGAGAGGCTGCTCTCCCTTCTGCAGCGTGAACCTGGACAGACTGGGGAGAGCTGGAGGATGTGGGGAGGGCTCTGGAACACCTCCTACCTTGGCAGGCACCCTGAATTCTCCATATTCCTTCAGCAGTTCCTGAGTCTCCTCTGTGGTGTCTCCCGTGGAGGTATGTGTTGAGAGGTAATATTCACCTGTTTCTTGGATCCAGTCCAGCGCCTGTGGGAGGAAACAACCCACCCAGTCCCCTAAAAGTCAGCTGTCCGTAGGAAAACATGCATTGCTACACTGTTTGGCACAGTGTGACAGACCCAGGAAAGGCTGGCACATTTTGGTCAGCATGTAGCTTGGAAGCTGATTTTATGATTGAACCCTCTCCCATTGACTCAGAACATCCTACCAGCTGGAGAGTGTCTCATCTACTGGCCTTCATCTTCTAGGCCAGGCTCAGCATCGTGCACAAGTTAGGGCCCAGCTAACCCCAGCATATCCTCCTAGCTCCTGGTGCAGCGTGCTTGGTAAAGGCTGAATGACCAGTAAGTGACAGTCTGTTCTCTTTCCTTTCGTCTGCACCACTGCCCGTATCTACTCTGCTTGCTGCCATGACCCTCTTCTGGACTGTCCCTGTGGCCATCTTGGTGATTGTATCATCCCCTGAACAGAGGAGAAGCCGGGAGAACCATGGACGTACCTGCTTCGCGCTGCGCTCAAACACGACATATTGCTGGCACTGGTCTAACCGCCGCTTCTTCAGGGTCCAGAAGTGCAGGACACGATTCTCCCGCTGTAAGAGCTCGCTCAAGATGGCTGCAGGGCAGAGGAGATGAGCACTGGCTCGGGAAGGCCCCAAACCCGGCCGGCCAGCTGCTGGCACCACACACCCCAGCTGCCAGACACCTGTGACCTTCCAGCCTCCCAAGGGGACTAATCCAGGTCCCGAATGTGAGGACAGGAAAGCATTTCCCAGAGGGGAGCAAGATCAGAGGGACTGAGGTGAGAGCCTGGCCATGAGGCTCCATCAGTGAAGGGACAAAGAGCATGACCCTAGGGGAACCTAAAAGGGATCCTGATTCTCTTCATACCTAAGCCCGTCCTTGATGGTAAGAGACCTTGGGAAGTGTCAGCTCTTAAAATAACAACTAACTCACTTGGACCTGGGGCCTATGGACAGCAAGGGGACTTGATAAGAATCCCAGCCACTCTTGGGTTCTGTGAGACGGTGGGAGAGGAACAAGAGTGTGAGGACCAGTGTAGCTGCACGGGTAACCCGGCTCACCAGCCACACTCCCTGTCCTGTAGGGGAGGCTGTGCACATGGCACCCGAACAGCACGGCCTTGATTTTATGACCTCTAAGTCACAAGCGTAAGGAGGCCGTGTTGGAATTGTGTCTTCCTAGAATCGTGTCTCTAGGTCAATTTCCGTGTTGCTGTGGATCAGATCTGATCACGAGCTATTCTTGTGTTACCTCTAATGATGGCAGGTGAGAGGACATGCACAAGGCACATAGCCCCACGGTGGGCCACGGCAGGTGTCCATCCATGTTCTGTCTCTCCCTCCTCCTGTCACTGCAGCAGCAGCTGGCCATGTGCCCAGATTCCCTATGTGTTTAATAGTGTGCTCTGTGCTGGAAGCACTCACCGTTAGTCTGTATTATGTCTGCCTCTGGCTTCCTGCTAACTCTGTTATATATTAATTCATAATATTGATGATATGAAAAATTACTACTTATTAAGCACTCACTCTGTGGCAGGCACATATTCTCACAATACACTGTGATGCTCGTACCATTATTACCTCTACTTACAGATGAAGGAAGTGAGGTTCAGAGAGGATAGGTCATTGCCCAGGGTCATTCAGGAATGTTTGACTTCAGAGCCTGGTTCCCTAGTTGCCTTGGTCCTCCCAGTTATAGGGGCTGTGAACACAGACTACTGTGCTTTACAAAAAGGGGCACCTGCACCCCAGTGTTTACAGCAGTCATGTCCACAACAGCTGAACTATGGAAAGAGCCCAGATGGATAAAGAAGATCTGGTAGATATCTACAATGGGATATTACTCAGCCATCAAAAAGAATGAGATCTTGCCACTTGCAACAATGTGGATGGAGATGAAGGGTATTATGCTAAGTGAAATAAGTGAGTTGGAGAAAGACAAATACCATATGATTTCACTCATATGCAGAATTTAAGAAACAAAACAGATGAACACAGGGGAAGAGAAGGAAAAATAAAATAAGATAAAAAGAGAGAGAGAGAGAAACCATAAGAGACTCTTGACTATAAGGGAACAAACTGAGGGTTGCTGGAGGAGAGGGTGGTGAGGGGATGGGGTCACTGGGTGATGGGCATTAAGGGGGGCACGTGATGTAATGAGTCCTGGGTGTTACAAGCAACTGATGAATTACTATAGTCTATCCCTGAAACTAGTAATATATTGTATGTTAACTAAATTGCATTTCAATAAAAAAATTTTTTTAAGAAAAGGTACAACCAATTTGCAGTGCTTGTACTTAGAACTTTTCGTGCATCTTCCTGGAAGTTTGACTCTCTAAGGACAGAATCTGTCTCTCTTCCCTTAGGCTGAGAACTTTTACAGGTCTCAATTATTCACCAATCCCTATATCCATGCCTTTATTACGTAACTTTTTAACTCCTCCCCAAAGAGATAAATCCTACTTCCTCTCCCCCCACCCCCAGGGTTCTGCTATGTGACTTGCTCTGGCAAAGGGATTGTTAATAGATATTATACACGCAGGAATTTAGTGTGCTTGTGCACTTGACCTTGCCCTCATCACTATAAGAAGTTTTCCTGGGTAATCGCTTCTTCAGCTGAGGTCCCAGAATTAATACATGTGGAGCAGACAAGACTCCAACCTGTAGTGAGGCACTAAGCCAGCCAGGCTGGCAGAAACGCACTGCTGAGACCGGCCAAGACAGCTAGTCCCCAGCCAATGCATAGTGACTTGAACAAAAAATGCTGACAGTTGTATGGCACTGGGCTTTATGCCATAATAATTGCGCCTGTAACAAAAACTTAAAATAAGTGGCACTGGCCTTCGGTCCAGGTAGCGGGTAGACAAGAAATGGGTACAGGAGAAATTGTAGGTCCCTGCTCAGGAGGAATCCTCACTTGGGCAGAGACAAGTGAGAAGCAGCGTTTACTTTAATCTTTCTGTCTCCTAATCAGAGCTTTGCTGACTGCAGAATCTTACAGGGTGCTTAAGAGAATCAACCCTGATCAGGCAAAAATCCTAAAGAGTTTCAGATTTCATTTCTCTCATTCTGGAAAGATTTCCCGAGGACAATAACCTACCTTCACCCCCATGAAGCTGCAGCATACCCTGCTCTTTCTGTGAGCCCGAGGCTTGCAGCACACTGAGGTACGGGGGGCATGGGCTCGCCCAGAAGGCAGTTGGTCTCACCCACACCACCGCCACCCCAACGCTAAGTCAGGACACGAGCACTGTAGCATGCACGGTGGCCAGCCAGCCACAGCGTCCCTGGACCTCAAATGGGGAGCACCTCTGGAAGAGGAATCCTGCCTGCCTCTTCTCCATAGGGAATTTTATTACTAAATTTAATTCTTCCCAGTGGCCTCTGATCTTGCAGCCTCCTAAGCTCTCTGAGCAGGGAGGAAAGCCCCTCCTAAGGCAGATCAGCTCTGCAGCCCTCATCCTGCCCCAGCCCTCACTCCAGGCCAGTTTCGGCTCCCTCCCTGGCCTTGGTCTCTAGGCTGGGAGCCCTCTGCTGTGTTGAGATGACATTTGTTAAATTCTTCTCCTGCTCAAAAGCTACTTTCTGCATGGTCCAACATAAGTGATACCACTGATAATAATTTAAGCTTAATGTGGTCATCTAATAAGCAATGATTAAAGGTTACTAATTTTTTCATGTAACTGTAGACTCTATAGAATTCAGAGAGATATTAAAGATGTGCTGGACCAGTACTTATCTAAATTTGACGTGCACACAAATCATCTGGTTGGGAATGGCAGGAGCCCTTGCCAAAATGCAGCTTCTATTTCAGTAGGTCTAGGCAGGGCCTGAGGTTCTGTTTCTTAACACGCTCCCAGGTGATTCCAGGGCTGCTGGACTGGGGACCACATTTTAATGAGCAAGAAGAGTTCAGATGCCCATCATTTTAAAGTAAGAAACTTGAAGTTGTAAAAGCTCACATAGTAAGTAACAAAGCCAGGATTAGAACTTGGTTTCACGATTCTCAGTGTGCGTCTTGTTTCCAGGCTGTAAGAAAGCCTCATCTGTGCTCCTCAGTATGTTAGCCACAGCTGGCTACTTACACTTAAACTAAGAAACAGTCAATAGAAGGAAACATTTAGTTTTTCAATTGTCTTAGCTACATCGGTCAAGTGCTCAGCAGTCCATGTGCCTAGTGCCTACTAGATGCACAGGGTAGGTATGGACCGTGTCTGTTCCTTCAGAAAATTCTGTGAAGTGCTGCTCTAGATTAAGATAAATGAAAAAGTGCTAGGGAAATTTTATCTTCATCTTTCTATTCCCAGTCCTGATGCCCTTTTAAACACTGCCCATCCCTCCTGCCCCCACATCAAATGTCCTCTTATCTAAGGAGAAGTAGCAGGAAACATGAGAGTGCACAGGGACCAGGTTCACAGCCTCTGGTCTGTGCTGCTGATGTGGCCTGTGGCTGGACACTCCCACACTGACCTTTCACTTGCTGCTCAGGTCCCCGGGTGTGGCTGGCGGCACTGGGCATGCTGACGTTGTTCCTGTGGATGTACTTGAGGAACACCTCCGCGTTCCGCCGGGCCAGGGTACAGGCCTGAAAGAGACGAAGGTGTGAGGACCCCAGCAGGTGCGTAGGGCCTGAGACACTGGGGGAGGGGCACCGGTGGACAGGTTTCTGGAGCTCTGGGTGAGCAGAGCCCTGGAGGCCACTTCTGGTTCCCAGACACTCCCATTCCAAAGCAGAAAGCTCCCCTTTTTGTGGTGTAAAGAATTACTCCCTGGGCCTCTCCCTTTTCCATCCCAGAGGAAAATCAGCAATCAGGCATCCCTTGACTACCTCTCTTCATAGGTACTAACGTCTCAGGCTGGTTTTCTTCTGCCACCAGAATGCCTCTTAAAGGACCACTGCAGTAAGCCACTTCCACATTCGTTTAATTTATTTTTTTTATTTATTTAATTTTTATTTATTTGACAGAGATCACAAGTAGGCAGAGAAGCAGGCAGAGAGAGAGGAGGAAGTAGGCTCCCTGCCAGGCAGAGAGCCCAACGTGGGACTCAATCCCAGGATCATGACCCGAGCCGAAGGCAGAGGCTTTAATCCACTGAGCCACCCAGGCGCCCTGCATTTGTTTAATTTAGACTCAAGAAAGCAAATTTGGTAAACAAGCCTATTAACCACACATTCCATATCTAAATGGAAGTCACCCACATTTAAAAAACGTATTTGTCCCTAAAATCTGCCCTGGCTCAATAACACTAATATCTTATTGCTGGGAAATATGGATCTATACACAGGAATAAGAGCCACTATGCTACCCTCTTTATGACTCCCATTAGCTGTGGATGGCAGAGAGGACACTCTCCTTGTGCCCGGGGAGGAGACCCAGGTCCAGAAAGGGCAGGAACCATGAAGCACATCAGGGCTGGAATCTATGACTATGGGCAGAGTATTTCTAATTCCTCTCAAGACCACAGAATTTCTGAATTTCTTTACAGAGCAGAATTTTTTCTGTTGTACAAGTCTAGAGGCAGTATAAGCCTCCCCTTATCCCCAGTTCTCTTCTCTGCAGCGTCAGTTACCCACAATCCACAGCAGTCCCAAAGCAGGAGGTCCTCCTGATGCATTGTCTGGTCAGTGGTAGCCTATCCTTACCTCACACTGCCTACGCCATTCCCCTCACTTCGCCTTACCACGCAGGCATTGTATCATCTCACACCATCACAAGAGGGGTGAGTACAGTGCAGTGAGATATTTTGAGGGAGAGACCATATTCACATGACTTTTATTACAGTATATTGTCATAATTGTTCTACATATCTATCAGTTATCTATTATCAGCTGTTCATCTCTTACTGTGCCTTGTTTATAAATTAAACTTTATTGTAGGTGTATATGAGTAGGGAAAAGCATAGTATATGTAGGGTTCAACACTATTCAGAGGTTCAGGCATCCGCTGGGGGTCTTGGAACATATTCCCCATGGATAAGGGGGACTTCTATTTACCCTAGTCCACTAATTTTTAATCTAGAGTTTCCAGTATTATCTAGATGAAACTGTCAAACTTTAATACCTTTGACATTTAACAACTGATTCTCTAAATTATATAGTAAAAAATTATTTTAAATTTTGCATTAACAACGTGGTTTCTGGGAGCTCTGGTAAAAGATTTTTGGATGGGTCCATCTATTGTGAGGTCCACGAATTTAACAGCTGGATGGTGGTCCAAAGCTAAGGTATCCAACATAGATCAACTAACATACCTAAATGGGGAACTCAATAGTCCATCCATCAGGCATTTAATTCCCACAGGCACAGGGAATTTCTCACCTATGATTTTAGGCACATACGGAAAACGTTAGACCAGAACATTTTCTTCTTCCATTCTTCAAAAGAAACACATCATTTTATGAAGTAATATCTTTATACCTCTTTTAAAAGTCTTTCATATGCTCTCCTTCGGTCATTGTTTTAAATTTTGTTTTATGGTAGAGAAGACTTCTAAAATCTCTTGCACCCTGTATAGAAGACTTTTTATTTAATCTTATTGGTAAGAGCTCATTGCTAAGGATTCTGACTGAGTGTGTGTGCACACACCTGATAGACAGGAGGACAGTAGGGAGAAGCCATCTCAAAAAGAGAGAGAAAGAAAAAAAAAAAAAGTGAAACTCAAAGGGGTGGTCAAGTAGAAAAAATCCCTAATAAAAGAAAGTCAGTTAATTACAGAGTTATAGAAAAGCAGTGGCAACATGTCAGGGTATAAAAATTCTCTTTGTACTCCCAGAAACCTGAAAGGAAGCAGAACATGAAAGCAAGAAATTTGAGAGTAAACAGAGCCTTTAGATAAGTTTTAACACAGATGACTCTGTTGGAGAGATGATCAAAGGCTGGAGGAAAGAGGCTTACTAGGACTTTCCACACTAGCTGAAAGCCTGCTCAGAACAGGACTGCGCTTCCTCTCTGGGAAGTTGGGGCTCTAATAAGAACAAAACAAACAAAATGAGGTATTTCTCTCTTCGTGCAACAGAATAAATGGTGTTATATCTAATGGTTATTGATAATTGCTAGATTGGCAAATAAATAAGGTGTCTAAATTTATTTAATTCTTGCCCTAAATTTTGCATCATCCATTTATAAAACATTTAATACTGTTTTATATATAGACATATATATATGCATGTGCATGAGAGCATATATATATATATATATATATATATATATATATATATATATAATTTTTAAAAATTTATTTCTTTTAAGTTATCTCTACACCCATATGGGGGCTTGAACTCACAACCCCTAGATCAAGAGTTTGCATGCTTTACTGACTGAGCCAAATAGATGTTTCCAAGGCTATGTGTTTCAATTAAAAATATTTTCATAAGCCAAACATAACTGGGTGAAACTATGTGTTATCTCAATTACCAACATCAATGAGATATCAAGATATTCAAACAGGCACCTGCAGTAATGGTGTATAACTGTCTAATTATATAGAAAGTAGGGAGAGAAATATGTTGGAAGCATAACTTTTCAACCTTCCAAATTAATCAGCCAATAGCTTCTCTATAAATGCCTCCCTTTAGATAAGAAGTGAGGAAAGAGAGGGGGATGGAAAGCCCATATGATGAAACGTGTGTGTGTGTGTGTGTGTGTGTGTGTACATGTGATCTTCAATGACAATGTGCTCTGACCTTAAGAAAGGCCTCCTTTTGTTCCAAATGTTTGCTGATGAGTGGGATGACATGGTCGATCTCTGCTGCTGGTCCCAGTTTATCCCGTCCGCCACACCAGTCCTCGTCTCTCCGGTATTCTTGCTCTAAACTCTCCAGGACACTACAGACCTAATGAACCATGGAGGAAAGTCTCAGTAAATTAACAGATCAGGGGAGTGTTTTCTGAGCACCTTCAGCCAACAGTACCCTATGCAGGTGACTAGTTTCATTTGAAGCTCAGTCTGTAGATTTAGAACACGCGGTGCCTCTGGGATGTGGAAGGGAAGTCCAGGACACAGCTGAACTCAGCAGACAGGTTAGGACTGAGAGATGGATTTTGGAATCATTTGACAGTTGCTGGCTGAAGGCCAACATCACTTAGGGAGAGTATACAGGGTAAGAGAAGAAAAAAGACCAGAAATTTGGGGGGGTTTCAAAGTGTTCTTTACATATTCTATCACTGGAACTTATGATAGCTCTGTCAATGTGGCAGAGCAGGAAAATGAAGTTTAGAGAATATACTAGGCTTAGGTTTGTCCAACCATCCACACTTGCCCTACAGGAAGTAGCCCTAAACAGAAGTAAAGAAGGAAATGGCTTGTGTTGTGGGACTTATGGGCCATAAGTGAAATGTTTTCTTTCCCCTCCCTTGGCAAAAATATCCCCGCAAAATGTCTAGAGGTATTGTCATAAGGCAGTGACATCTTCAGACCTTCTTTTACAAAATAGACGTTTTGTTCAGAGGATAATACACTTGGGTTAACTTAAAAAAAGAGTTGTTCTCCAAGTGCTAAGAGGTCATACTCTAAAAGCAAAAGCATTTTCAATGGGACTTGGATGGAAGATAGGTTGGGTGTAACAGAAGGGGACCCAGGGCAATCTTGTGTCAAGGCCTAGGGAAGGCTGCAGAAAATAGAAACTCATATCCCTATACTTTCCTTCACTAGGCTTTGAACGCTTGGCTACGGCAGGGGGTGGGGAACAGCTACATATCCCAGGTCCCCTTTGCCTGGGAAAGTCATCCCTTTTGAGGAAGAGTATGGTGTTGGATAGGATGTTTACTGAGTGATGAATTGAGCTAAAAGATGTCCCAGGCAGCACACCCTCGTAGCCAACGTGCTCCCCATGTCATGAGAAGGCCTGGCCCTGAATTCTGACTCCTCTAGCATCACACACCTCTTCTTATGGAAGGTATGAACATGTGTAGGAGGGCCCAAGTCTTGAGAGAAAATGGATTAAAGAGAAGCAACAACTTTAAGAAAAGGCATACTTAGGTCACGTGATAATACTGGACTAAAAACAACTTGGGAACTAGAAGAAATGAAAAGATTATCAAACATAAATCTTTCAATTTAGCAGGTAAAGAAACAGAGATCTGGGTCAGTTCTGGGTCAAATTTCCTGACTTTAATGTAGTGTTTTGTTCCCTTCAGCATCTAGACCCATCAAAAACTAAAATTTGTGTGTGATATTAGACAGGGCTTTAACCTCATTTAAAAAAAAAATGGATATAAGTATTCCCTGCTTTCTACAAGTTCACATTACTCCATTTCACTTTTATGAAAGACCTACATTAGTACCTGTTTTTGCTAACTGAAAGAAATATGAGGTAGGTTTTCACTCCTATGATAAAAGGCAAAAGGTGAAAGTAGTGTTCATTGTTTGTTCTGCAGTGAGCTGTGGGGCTGTTCTAGAGGCAGTACACATCCTGAACAATGACAGTGCCTCCCCTGCCCCCACCTCGTGAGCTCCTTCCCCAGGTGTAGTTTCTGGTGAAGTAGCATCTCAGCATCCAGCTGCCACAGCTCCAAACTGTGTCTGTGACCATCTGTGATTTACCTCGATTTATTCTGTGTAGCTGTTAGCAAGATGTGTCCCTAAGATTTCAGAAAAGCCTAAAAGAGGTTACTTTTCAGGTGTGGGAATATTTAAAAATTTTTTCCATATAAGTAAATGGTCATTGCTTCTTTGCATCTGATTTCAGCTTATAAAAGTTTTCATAGGAACACTACTTTCAGTTAGCAGGGGAAGCCTGCTTTCAGTTATCTGGCATCATTTGTTGAAGACTTTGCTTTTGAATTGTTTTGTCAAAAGTCAGCTGCATATTTGTGGGTCTACTTTTAGAATCTCTATTCTTTTTCCTTGTATCTATTCTTACAACAACATCATTCTGTCTTGATCATTGTACCTGTAGAATAAGTCTTAAAATCAGTGTAACTCCAACTTTCCTTTTTCTTTTCAAGATTGTTTGGCTATTCTTGGTTCTTTGTATTTCCATATATATCTTATAACCAGTGTATCAATTTTTATCAAAAAGTTTGCTGGGGTTTGATTGGGATTCTGTTCAATTGATAAATTGCCTTAGTCTGCTACTCCCAACTCTGGGGCCATCAAGGCACCATCAGTTGAGAACAGAGAGAAGGTGTGGAGGCTGGAACACTGGCCACAGGGCCCTCAGACAGGCATGTTATATTTACTCCGGGTAGACTTACCCAAGGCCCCTGTAAGTCACCCAGAGGAGAATGTTTCTCTGATCTATTTCTACCAGGGAGCAATTCCAATGAGGAACATGTTTTACATGGAATACAATTATGTCTGTTTTCAACCTCTATTTCATGAAAGAATTCCCTGAAAGCACCTAAATCAGTTAGAAATCCTCTTAGCCCTTGTACATATTACTATACAGATGGGAAAGTAAGGGCTCTAAATCCTTGTCATCCCGCTGTGTGCATCTCCTGCCTTTTCTCCCACAGCTGTTCTATCCCACCTGCTTGGCTCATAACCTTTGGAAGAGAGACGGCTGTGTCTCCTCCATCAGATGGAGAGCCCCATGAGTGAAAGAAATGTATGTTTTCCAAGCATAGGGCCTGACTGGGGCACCCCAGATGATGTTCTGCAGATTCTCACCCTACTCTCCTGACCTTCACTGGAGGCATAGACTTCCCTGCCTCACTGATGTTGGCTTGGCCATGTGACTCATTTTGGCCTAAAGGATGTTAGAGCATGTGGCACACTTGGAGATTTGAGATGCAGTTGCACAGCAGATTTTGGGCTCTTGCACTCCTACTCTTCACCATAAATGTGCCTCAAGTAGCTGCTGGTCCAGGAGGCTGAGAGTCATGAAAGCAGATCTAGACCAGATGTCCAGCTTGGAGCCCGGTTCTACCAAACTCCGTCAAGATCAGCTGAACTCAAATACTTAAAAACAAAATGCTCATAGTTTTATGTCATTGAGTTGTATGGTAATTTGTTACACAGCATTATCGTGGCAGTAGCTGGCTCAGACAGCCCTCAACCTAGCATTCAGCATACACCTAATTTCTCCTTCAACACTTAGATCTGATGAGGCTGAGATTTTACAAGAAACAAATCACATGGTTCACTTCTTTAATGGAAAATATTATAAGGAGGCTAACTGTAGTTATTTTCATGCCATTATTCTATTCTAAAAGGCTACTGCTGAGAGGACTAGCTGCAATCTTGCGGGAGATAGTATAGGTTAGCAGTATGAGGGGAAAAAAACAACCTTCCACCAACATTAGTCCCCCACCTCCCACAGCCCTTCCCTCACCTGTTCAGAAGTTTTATAAAATGCCACAGAGGCGTTGACTAGTTTTAGCCGGTCTTCCATCTTCAGCATGAGCTGCTGCCAGTGGAGGGCCACTTTCTCGGCACATTCCCGGATGGCGTCGGCGTCATAGTGGCCGGCCTGGAGCAGTGCCTCAGCTTTCTGCTGTACCTGCAGGGCGCTCTGGTGCGTCTTCTGCAAGGAAGTGGCATGAAAGAGGGACTGGGCACAAGGGGAGGAGAGAGAGGTCCGTGGGAACGACCCAGGCGTGGTACGGGAGGGGGTGGAGTGAGGCGTGAGTGGAAAGATGCAGAAAAGTTAAAGAGCTTTAAATGGTGGATTCAAACATTTTGTTATGACGATTAATACATCATTGTTTTTAAAGCATATTTTAAAAAAAAGAACATCATGCGTTTTCATTAACCTAATGCTCAGGACCCCAACTCCTGACCCCACTCTCCTTCTCGCATCACTGGCTCTAAAGATGTCTCCGTTTCTGTGGTAGAGAAACAGCAGTTGTGTATACATCTGCTCCTGAATGGTTCAGACATTAGTCAATTTTTCTTTTCAATCTAATCATAAAATCGCTCACTGTAGTTAAGAGTTCTCAAGGAGATTACTGCTATAGCTCCACTTTACAGGTCAAATATAAGAAAAAAACAACTCCACATCATACAAAGTTCAGCCAACGATGCAATCATTTTAAACATTAGCTGAAAAGGATTCCAGTAGAAGGACTGGGCAGGTTAATAAAGCCTAAGAGCAGCATCTCACCATTCCTCAGCTACCCCACGAAGGGAACAGAACAGCATAGTACATAATTCAGCTCAATGTGTAATCCCTACATTATTACATTACTTATGTTTGCCTTTAGGATAATGTATAGAGATATATACAGTGGAAGGTTTATTTTCTTATTCAAGCCAATTGTGGTTTGCATTCTCGGAGTTCTCATTAACTGCAGGACGGAGTGGGAGACCAGGCTGGAGGACTGGATGGCAGAGATAGAGAGCCAAAAGGGATTAAAATTTACTAAAATAAAGTATGGATGTGGTTGAAACATAGGACTTCAAAGACTTAAATTTATCCCGACCTCAACTGCAAGGATCACTTTAACTCAATGGTGCAGGGCTGACTTGGCCTCTGCATGCTTAGGAAAGTATAGCTCAGCTCCTGGTGAAAAGGGACAGCTAATGGCCCAGTAATTTACTCTAGAATTACTTCTGCCCTTCTTCTCTGGCAGCAGTGCTGGGATAGTTCCCAAGAGCTGATCCATTTGGCACTCCCTGCGTGAGTGCAACTTCCCTTTCACCCCTACACCACCCAGTCCCCTTCACCCCCATCCTAGACTGCAGTCTGCACAGTCCTGTTTATAACCCCCCCCCCCCCCATCTATCACCTATCTCCTGGCTTCCCTTCCCTGTCTCTGGAATCTGTACTCAGTGTTCATTATGATAGCATGACTGCCTCTAGCAACCTAGACTCCTTTACTCCCTTGTTTCTGCACTAAGTCAGCCCTCGATAGTGATGATCAGATCAGAATTTGAGTTCCTAAATGTTGAACATGGTTAGAAAAAGTAAACTTTAAAATTAAAAAAAAAAAAAAAGTAAACTAAGGGTCAGAGTGATCCTCCACAAATTCCTGATTTCTTTGTCTGTTTTACTTATTGGCACCATTTTCTTCTCCTGTCTCCTAAATAGAGGGGAACCCCAAGGTGCATTCTTGGTTTTTGTTCACTTCTGTGGAACTCTTATCTATACTCATGGCTGCTATTACTTCCTTTTTGTAGATGTCACCCAGTATTCATTTCTCACGTTACATGGGACCCTCATCTTTAACTGTCTTTGGGGGTGAGGGTGAGCTGCCCACCATATTTCTCACTCCAAGCCAGCAGCACTGATTCAATTGTTCTAGCTGCCTGCCCCACATTAGCCACTTACAAAGATGCGTTCTTAGTAAAAGAAGTGACAGGTCTTCCTGGAGAGAGGAGGAAGGCTCGTCAGTGAATGCAAATGGCTTCACCACTCTATTAGAGCATCCCGCTTCCTCCCAGACATCTTCTCAAATTCCACATTAAAATGAAATCCCTCCCTCTGGAAGTATCTTCCCATGGCAGTCTACCATTGGTGTTGATGGTGCCCTCCTTGTTGTCACCTGGGTTTATAATCTGGACATCATTCTGGACTGCTATTCCTCACCCCAAGTCCCAGTCCAACCCACTGCATACCAGGACTTCCATGGTGGTCCCAGAGCTAGCCTCCTTGCCTTCCACTTTGAATCCATCAAACCCATCCCTCACATTTCCAACACATCATTTGGTTCTCCGTAATAGGAAGTGCTTGGGTGAAGTGACCCCTAACGTTCTTCTGGCTCCAAAACTCTGATTTTGTGCTTAGACATCATTCCCTTCTCTCAATTCAAAAGCCTTCAGTTATTCTTCCACTGCTATAAAATTAAGTCCAAACTTTGAAGGATGTCCTTAAAATCTCCTCCCAATGTAGTCTTGAACGACTTCCATAACATTATCATCTACTACTTCCTTAAAAAAAAAAACCTCTGCAAACACACCCTGGCTTATTTTTTTTTTTTTTAATTTTTACTTAGAGGAGTACTTTAATATCTATTGTCTAATTAGATTCACATCGACCCTGAGAATTATTAGAGCAGGTCTTTTTGTTTTGTTTTGTTTTTATTAACATATACTGTATTATTTGTTTCAGGGGTACAGGTCTGTGATTCATCAGTCTTACACAATTCACAGCTCTCACCAGAGTGAGCTTATTTTTGCTGCCTTCACTCTTCCTGTCTTTTAGTGAACACCCCTTCCTCTCTCCCCATCTATGTTCCAGTTGTCCTTTGAGACTCAGCTCAAGTCTGGTCTCCTTTAAGAGAAGATTAAAGAGTACACCTATCATGATGAACACTGAGTAACGCAGAGAATTGCCACCTCACTGTATCACACACCTGCCACTAATATGGCACTGTATGTTAACTACAGTGGAATTAACAATTTTTTTTTGGAATTAACAATTTTTTAAATGTTATATTAAAAAAATCCTTTTGGACAGCTGGAGACTCACTAAAAACTACTCTTTCCTGAACTCCTGTATCACTCATTTAATATATTTGGCTGATTCTTAAGGCAAACATGACTTTAAACATCACTTTAATAACTGTCATTTATCCAAGGGTACCTGGCCTTGTGCTTATGCATATTTTTTTCGAGTTCTTACAACACCACGACAAGGTGGATGTTATTATTCCCACTTCATAAGTTACAAACCTGGGGCTGAGGCTGGCTGAGTGACCTGCCCCCAAACATACAACCAAGGGGGTGATGACACTAGGGTTAAGATTCAGTTTTGACTCTTCCTGTGCTCATTCCCACCCTATCACACCACATTATTTAATCTCCAGAGTTAGAATGGTATCTGCAGAGCTTCCCACAGAGGAAGGGTTCACCAAATGAACATTAGTGATTATGATAATTAACTGGCTTCTTCTCAGTATATGAAACCAGCATATAATTGTCATCAAAACCCCATGATTATGTCTTTTTCTCTGGGAGTGAAGGACTAACTCTAATTGTCCTATAATTTAGACTATGTAATAAATCCTCTTCCTTATTCTGAAACTCATTATCATCTGATAGTCCTTGGAACTCCATCCCCTTTAATTTCCAAATGACAAACTTTTATGCATATGACATAATCTTTGCTTTGATAAGCCTGAGTCATTATTATGCATTTATTTCTACTATTATCTAATCCTATTGAGTGTTTTATCTCTAAGACGTGGATTACCAAGGATGTTAATACATGATGTTAATGTGGGAGTACATGGAAGAAAATTAAACCAAATCAATTGAATTTATTATCCAGTTTTAACTACTTATTCTGCCATAATGCTTATGTTTAAAATACATAAGAGGATTTCAAATAAAGTTGATTTCAAAACTGAGCTTGTCTCTTTTATAGTCACAATTCTTGAAGACACATCAGCCAAACCATTTTGCATACTAACATAAAATAATTTGGGTTTGTTGATAAAGCTATGCTTCTGGGTGCTATGTGCTGTTCTCTGTTCTAAATGGTTCTATCTTCCTAAAACTCAGAATACTTGAGGTAAAAATTCTGACCTTCTTTGGGGAGACTAAAGCCTTTAAACTGGGGTGCCTGGGTGGTTCAGTCAATTAAGCGGCTGCCTTCAGCTCAGGTCATGATTCCAGCATCCTGGGATCAAGCATTGGGCTCCCTGCTCAGTGGAGAGCCTGCTTCTCCCTCTCCTTCTGCCTGCTGCTCTCCCTACTTGTGCTATCTCTCTGTCAAACAAAAAAATAAAATCTTAAAAAAAATAAATGCAACCTTTAAATCAAAAAGTCCACCCAAGCTAGGGTGAGCAGACATCCTAGTCTGCCACGATAGTTCTATTATGTGCCTATTTTTCTAGCTGAGTTCTTAATAATTCCCTTCTTCCCTCTTAGAAGTATCTCAGTTTTAACAATAAATTATCTAGTCATCCTTCCCATAGCTATTTTGTTTTCCCTTATGGAACCGAGGATTTTTTCTTTGAGTCCAAGAAGTTAAATTATGTCCTCTATCGGCAATCACTAGGAAGGCCTCCAGTAAGTAATGACCACAAAATGGGCCAAGTCAAACTAGATTAGTTAGATCCCTTTCAAATTGCATAAATCTTCCCTGGCATATCTTTCCCTTGATGCAGAACCTGGTTTAAACCAACACTTTTAGAGTGAAGCACAAGGCCACCTGGAGAAGAAGCATATTTGAAGTTCATTCTTTTCGCTATGCTGTAGACCTACCTACCCTCCATTCCCTTGATCTTCTGGAAATCCTATCTGCTCTGCCATCTCCTCTTCAGACCATAGACATATACTCAACAGGGGCCTCACGGGATCTCAATATCAATTCCAAGAATATTTGATCAAGTTGCACCAATGTGATTAGGGACATACATGCTTAGTAAGCTTCTATTCCCTATGGGTGAAACAGCACTATTACAAATTAATACATCCTGCTTATGCAAGTGGTAGAATTTGGTCATGGTGCTAAGACTGCTAATGCATACCCCACTATTCCCACTCACTCGCTGAAATGCTCTAGTACATCATGATACTTGGTTTTATTGACCTAACATTTGCTTATGGGACAGGAAAGTTAATTACCTTCACATTTGAGATAAACAAGGGGGTGTGGCCAACAGTGGTCTTGTTTCTGCCTCATACCCTTGCAGCTTCATGCCACACCCCCAGTCTATCTGCCCAAACTTTGTTCATGCTGCCTCTCTATGGGGCTTTGACCACTGTGTGCCTGATTCTCAATTGTGACCCCAATCCAGATTTTTCCTTGGTGGTGAATAGATCTTAATGCTTTTATATTTGTGTATACCAGTAAACTGAGACAGAGGCAGCTGATGATAATAAAGCCTCTCTCCTCTGCTGAGTTCCTTCTTAGAAAATGATTTGTCCCCCCTCCCAAAGAAAGAAAATGATTTGCCCACATTGTGTGTGCAATATATAGTCTATTTTAAAATCTCAAATCCCCGGCCACTGGGATTTGTAAACCACTATTAGTAATGCTTCCTAGAAGATAGCAGGCATCTTATAGAAACATGCCATTTATGCTAATGCTATGTTTACATATACAAGATGGTTCCTAGTAATCAATCTATAATAGTTGAAAAAAGGCTAGTAATCAACTGATTACTGTATTAAAGACATAGGCACGAAGAGTTAAAATTTTATCATTGTTATGAAAAATTCTCCTTAACAATCATTCTTTTAGTAGAAGATAACACTTCACATTTCCTACACATTCAAAAGTGGGTTGAGTTTTAAACAGAACCACAAGTAATGAATGACTTTGAAGGTTTCTCTCTGTTCCCACTAGTACTGAACTTACTTTATTTTTAATATGGTTCCCATGTCCCATTTCCTGCTCCTTTCCCCACACCCCTCTAAAGCAATCAGCTCAAGTCTCTTTGGGAAGAAAAATGTTCTAGTAGAAAGGATAATTAAAGGTATTATTTAAAGCAAGATGACAAAATTTAGATTATGGGAAGAGGTATTTTATTTTAAAATAGCCTTTAGAACAAGTGTCAGTTGGTGAACTTCTGGTTTCAGTTTATTCCTGAAATGTGGCCTCGATCAGTGGTACTGAACAACTATTTTCAGGGAAGCAAGCTATCTAGTGCAACCTACTCCAAAGCTCATTGTTCTCATTAAAAGGCAGAAACTGACAATGATATCTACATATTACATAGAAATCAAATGTTTTAAAATGGAGTGCTAACATATTAATGGCTTTTGTAGTTGTTTACCCTCAAGGGCTCCTCAACTAGAAGTGACTTCTAACCTTCTGGCTTCACATGTCTCACATGGTGCATAGTCCACAATGTCCAAGTACTCAGTATACCAGAGGCCTTATGGGTAAATGTGCCAATAAGTAATCAAGATGCACTTTTGTGCTGTGAACATTCATCTTTCAATAGGAGGCCCCCTTGGGGTTGGTGAACTCCTGCGTTTGCTTCCTCATCAGTTCCTGGGTAACAGGGAGGCTTCCTGGACCACTTAACTAGAAAGAGTAAGGGCTTCACTACCTAAAGGAATGTCCACAGCATGAGGAATCCACCTGCCCGGGGTGCAGAGCAGAAAGGGGAAGGGAGGCCAGAGGAGTCAGATTTGGGTGTTACCTCGATTGCTAGTTGGAACTGCTCATGTTCCCGCTGCAGCTGCTCTGCTTCGGACAAAGAGCTGGCATTGACCAGGCTGGCGTTGAGCATTGACTCCCCATTGCGGATCCATCCCAGGACCTGGGGAGTTAGGACAAGAACACAGATGAATGGCTTTTGCAACCTCCCCAGAGCTGTGGCTTTCTCCGATGGGTCATTAAGTCAGAACTTGCTATCTTCTGACTGCACTTGGCGAGAGGACAGGAAGGCTCTGGATAATTAAAATGTTCATCTCTGCCCTCTAACCTGGCATTTTGTGCCATAAGGCACTTACTGTAAGTATCAACCTCATTCTTAGCTACATATATTCCTTTCCACCCTTATTACCTCTCTGTTCCAATTTCCTTACCCATTTAATTTAAACATTATCTGATTGTATTGTATGTACATTTCTGAAGTTCTTGCTAGACTGTAGAATGGTTTAAGTAAATAAATTCCATATATTGGCATTCTTTTCTCTCTTTAAAAACCCAGTTCAGATGCCAACCACTTGAAATCTTCCAAACCCAGTTACTCCCGTTAGAAACAGCTCTCCCTCACCCAGTACCCCCACACCATACCACCTCTGTGACTCACCACAGACCGCCTTGTTCAGTGGTTTTGACCTACATTTCAACATCCCACCATACCTCTTCCCCCCAGATGTAAACTTCTGGAAGACTAGGGCAGTATAAGTCATGCTTCCGTCTCATACAGTGCCTAGCACAGTGCCTTATAAATGCTAAGTACGCAGTAATGTTTTTGAAAAAGGGAACAATTATCTATAGACAATACCCAAATTACACCTGAATGGTGGGTCCAACCTTCTGTGCCTTACAAGATAGTTAAGAAGAGACACATTTGAGCTCTGACATATAAACAACCTAAAGGGAGGAGGAAGGAGAAAGAAAACAAGGAAAACAGCATCAATAATCCATATACCGGATCATTAGAAAAAGGGGGAATAAGTTATAATTGATTTAAATTATCTAGAGGCAATGGCTAGGCTAAGTAAAATTTCTAGGTGACCTTAATTAGTACTGGGGGAAAGAAAGTTCAGCTAGGGAATATTAGAATAGAAGGAGAAACAGCGGAAACCGTCTAAACAGTCCTAGGTGAAATGGGCATGTGGCAACTCTCCAGCTAAGATCTCGAGTCAAGTGCAAATAATCACACTGGAAGAATCAGGCCTTGAAAATACACATTGTGTCTGGTCACCAGAAAATTACTAAATATTTTCTTTATTAGGGAGTCTAAGAGTTTGCTTGGAGAGGAGATAAAAATTCTTCTGAAATTTCAAGATCAGTAAATATCATCCATCTGTTACTTCAAGGAAAGGATTAGATACCACAATCTGTTTCAGATTTTTGCAGATTTTTTTTTTTTTCCTCCTCTCAACTTCTTCATGCTAAACAATTAGAAAAATACTAAGCCTGGTCTCTCCTATTCCATAATCCTCACAAACATTTCTCAAATTTCCTCCTTAGGCAGAATCTGACTGATGGCATATTGTACATGGGTAATGGTGGGGCGAAAGTCCTGCTGAAGCTGGGCTGTTCGGATTGAGATGTTAATTCATGGCCAGTCTGGCAGATTGTGGATGAGATGCCAAATCTGTAAAGCAATTAGTGGCAGATCTAACGGCTCAGAGTGTATGTGTGAAGTCTCTGATGCCAGTGGTGTGCTGGGGCTGGCTGGCTAGAGGTGCTAATGACTTCCAAAAGCTGCCTGTAAGTTTGGGTACACGCATACATGGACGGTATGCCCAAATGCTTCCGCTCTTTGGAAAATGGAGCTCACAATGTATACTTTGAACTATGCAAGTCCTTCTGCCATGATTCATTGCGTTTTGCTTGGTTCAAGATTCATTTGAGGGTGTCACAGAAACATTTACTTTGTGTGCATCACAAATCAACATTTGAGGGGCAATTTGACTCCCTCTGGGCTTCCTGAGTCTTGCTGGCATCTGTTCCTCTCTAGTTTCAGCCAACTGGAAACATCAGTTACAGCTATGGTGGTGGGGATCTCCATACACTAGCTTTCCATTTAGATATCATAGGCTTCAGTCTCTATGTCTTTCTTTAAGTCATGCCATATTCTTGATATGCTTGTTCATTTTTATTTCCCAAATGCTGTTTATAAAGGCATCCCAGGCATCTAAAGCAGGAGTTTTTATTTTAGGAAGGTAAAAAGGCATGTTTCTATACCATGGCTTAGGTTCAGGGGTGGGACTAATCCCTATAACTGAGTCTGTCCCAGAAGCAGGATGGGCACAGTGAAGAAACACCTGGCTTTTTTACTACCTGGCAAAACCACCTAAGCCTCTGGGCCTCAGTTTTCTCATCTGCAAAGTTCAGATGATAGCGTCTTCCCTTCTTCCAGCAGGGTAGATACAGCATGCAGTAAGACAGAAAGGCTGGTGATGGTAGAGGTGGTGATTTTTCGTTTTGGAGCAAAGCTAGGTAATGCTATGATTCTTCATTTACTCCTCTCACAACGAGAAGGAAAAAAGGCTAGGGCTACTGACTTTTGTTCCAGGATCTGTGGCACTTACTGCCGTATTCTGAGTGGTCTAGGGTCCCAGACCATGGGCTGTAATCAGGGGAGTGAATTCCCTTAAAGAGTCAGCATTTCTCCAGAGGTGTCTGGGCCATCGATCTAAGATAGAGAGCCCTATGTAACCCCAAAAGAACCTTAAATAATTAAATAATTTCATTTGTTCTCAACCCCGACAATAATTTTCAGTCTGACATCTGTGGCATCATTTCCCCTCAAAGCCTCAGTTTAACATAATGGTGGTATAACTACACTACAGCCAAATTTAAACCTCTCATCTATGGGCTCTAATGCCCAACTTTGAAGCAGCACATTGTTCTCTCTCTTTCCATCCCCATTAATGGCATTTCAATTAAGATATCCTTTTTCTTTCTTTTCTTTTTTTTTAGTATATTCAAAAGAGAAACTCTCAAGCTTGTGTCTAAATTTAGCTCTGCTGATCAATACTGACATCTAAATTAACTCCCTCTTTCCAAGTGTCAACAGCTTCCAAATCAATATTTCCTGTTCCACAAACTTCCATCAAAACACAAATGCCTTCTCTGAAACTGGATCAGACGACTCCTGAAAGAGCGAGCCCTACACTGACAAGGAAAACAAGTTCACCTAATGAGGCATGGTGGCTTAACAAAGCAACAAAATCCCTTGGCACCTCTCAAGGCCAAGGCCACTGTCCTTCACAAACGCCTTCGCGGGTTTCCTGCAGACCGACTCAAGCAGCCCAGTATGGGTTTGAACTACAATCCCACATGTGTCATCCTCACCATGGTGGGGAGAAACAACTTTCTCCTGCAGAGAAATTTTCCGTCCTCCAACTCAAGAAACATTGAATAGGAATGTACTCAGAGATCCGTCAAGCCTGGAGTATTTGTACATAGACAACCTACTTCCCCATTTGACAAACTACCTATCATCACTCCAACTCCTCACCCTATACAGAATGTATACTCAGAGGATAAAAAAATCATTTCCATTTTCACGCCAGTCAAGAAGAACATGATTAGGGAGTTGACTTTACTACTAATGTTGGAACAAAATTAAATATAAAAATTAAAAACCAGGAACAAAAGTATCTATTTCATTTCACAGGCAAATAGGAATGATTTTCCTGTTATTTGTTTTGTTCAGATGATCCCTCCTGCCCCCTTCAGCAGGCAGGAGTAAGAGTACATGAGCAGCGGAGGGCTCCTGTGACCTGTTGGAGCCTGCTGACCCATCAGGTAGGGGCTACCCTTTCTACCAGGCACAGGGCATGCTGTCTTCTCAGAGGTGGTGCTGTGAAGGCCAGGAATATCCCAGCCTATGCCCTGCTAGAGGGCTTCTTTCTATTTCTCCTAGAGCCCCCGGGCAGGAGTGGGGCCCAGGAGAGGCCCTGTGCGACTATTGATAAAGGAAGCACGGGCTCAAATTCCAGCTAACAAGTCAGCAAGCCCTGGGAGCACCAATCCTGTGCTACCCGTTTCCCACGTGTAAAATAAACATATGCCCCCTTTCCCAATGGGTCTCTTCTCTTAAAATGAGATTATAAGTGAGAAAGAACTTCTCATCTAAAAAGTAAGTACAATCATTATTACCAAGAGTCTCAGAATTTGTATACTCATCACTGCTCATGGGATTTCCACCATGTCTCTCCAGAGATTTGGGTGCGATCCCAGTGTAATTACACAGAGAGCAGTCTAGATGGCAGCTCTGTGATCCAGCTTGCCTCGGTGCTCAGTGATCTCACCTGTGCTGAGGACAGACCTTTAGCACAGTGGGTGCGGGTTCTGGCTGAGCACTGATTGGGAGAAGTGGAGTAGAGAGGACAGTTTTGTCCATTATAATAAATAACAGTATAATAGCGAAGACCGAGGCATTAACAAGAAATACTTGGAATATAAGAGAACAGCAATGATTAAATAAAATATGGTGTTTTTGTCCCCTGTTCCAAATTAATAGAGTTAAATAAGACAGTGTAATAGCCACAGTGCCTAAGAAAAAATGTTTAATAGGAAAAAGTTTCTTGGCTTGGGATTTTTTGGGTGGGGCTCTGCCTTCAGGGAGCAAGGGTCTGGATTGTTTGAAAGAGTGTGGAGCAGAAGGAACTATCATGGAAGTGCTATGGAACCCCCCCTGCCAAGAAGCTCTCCTAGACCAGTAGAGGGTGGTGACATGCTCTTTGCTCCCTGTGATCATTGTCTGGTGACCTCTCTAAGCTTCAGTGGCCTCATCTGTAAATCGGGAATAAGACCTGCTTCAGAGAATGGTTGTGAGGCTTGATGGAGAGATGGGTGTAAAAGGTTCCCAGCACTCAATAAATTTAACTATTATATATTTGTATTTCTTCAATACCACTGTGTAAATTAAAAAAATCTCCATTCATTATGCTGATAATTAAAATTTAGTCTATTCATAATATAAATATGTAGTATTTTTTTTCCCAAAGATTTTATTTATTTATTTGACAGAGAGAGATCACAAGTAGATGGAGAGGCAGGCAGAGAGAGAGAGAGAGAGAGGGAAGCAGGCTCCCTGCTGAGCAAAGAGCCTGATGCGGGACTCAATCCCAGGACCCTGAGGTCATGACCTGAGCTGAAGGCAGAGGCCTTAACCCACTGAGCCACCCAGGCGCCCCTAAATATGTAATATTTTTAAATGCGTCACTGGTTCCTGTGTTTTCCTAGAGGTTCCTAGAGACCTGGGTAAGTCCTTTGGTAAAATGGCTAGTACAACATCTCATACAGATAACAAAATCTTCTCTTTCTTAAATTGACTTTAATAGGGCAAGACAATTTTCTTATAAGCTGCCCCTGCATATTGAAAAGAATGGGGGAAACTGCCCCCACTGACTCTCAACCACGTGTCAGGCCCTGCACGAGGACTCAGGGGCCCCACATTAACCAACGGGGCTCTAAACCCTGACCATGTTTATTGACATGGATTTGACTGACCATGTTTATTGACATGGATTTGACAAGGATTTGCGTTTCACACAAACTGCGTGTCAGGCTGGAGGACGGAAAGGAAGAGAAGAGGCTCAGCGACTGAGGACGACTTTGGAAAGTTCCAAATGCTCTTGTTAGATTGTTAGGAGAGAAAAAGGACACATTTGTAGTTTGCACCTTGTACCATCAGATCTGGTTTTAGATGCAACAGACAGCAGCCTCGCTGTCAGAATCCCAACCACCACTCCTTCACTTACCCATTTCCAAGTTCCGGTGACACCGGTGACTCTGCACACCTTCTCCCCACACCAAGAGCAGGCCCGGGGCCCAAGGGGAGCCTAGACCGAGGGTGGACAGTGGAGGGGCCAGGCTCACCTGTTTGACCTCGGCCTGCAGGTGCCGCAGCTGGAGGCACTGTTCCAGTCGCTTATGGGTCTGCTCTGCGTTGAGCTCTAATTCGTGTTGCTTCTCATGAAGGAACTCCAGTAGCTCTTGCACCTGGGCTGCCAGATCGATGTCTTTCTCACAGATTAACTCAATTCCTGATTAAAAAAAAAAAAAAAAAAAAAAAGGAAACAAGGAGAAACGAGGTAGTAGGACCAAGACCCTATATCCTGCAAGGAAAGCAGGAATGCAGAAACAGCCAGGAGCAGTGCCCTCCTGCCTTTACACATCCCTCTGGGAAGCTGGACAATGTGAGAACGGACTTTTGTTCAGGGTGTCCAAACCATGCCACCTCTTTTGGATGCTCTGATCCTTTGCCTGGGATCAGCTGGGGTTACGGAGAGAGGTGGTTCTCTGGGAGTCCACCCCAGAGAAGAAAGCCCTGGGCAGTCCCTGCTGGGGGATTTGCTAACACCTATAATATTCACAAGCAAGGCTCTGGACCATATTGGGAAATACGAAACAAAACCAAAAATGACCTGTCTCAGGAGCTTCTGCCAAAGGCACACTCACTTAGCTGGTCTGATGCAATTTATACTCAGATGGCAAGTTTGTTCCAATGAGAATCTCTGGGCAGGGGGATTTTAGTAGCCAACTACTCAGGCCCCCTAAAAAAAAGCAACTCTTAGAAATACATGCTAGCTCTCATACATTTCTTTAACACAGGCAAACACTGCTGATAAACACACCCCAGCAATACCGCAGGGGTACTGAGTGCTTCTCCATTTACAAAAAGCATGTTAAACATGCACCCACACAAGGAGAGTTTGCTCACCGTTATTCTGCTTTTTCAAAACAATGAATAAGCCCAGTCAGCCGCTGGCAGGAGCTCCCGATGTTTATGGATACGTCACCCAGCATTAATTAACTGCCCACTGTCTGACCTGTGATGGGACCGCAAGTCAATATCCACCAGGTGGGAGCCATGGCTCCATTCTTTGTCCATCCCCCTCTCTACCTGCCTTTTTCTTTTTTTTAAAGACTGATTTATTTATTTGAGAAAGAGAGAGAGAGAGCAAGCGAGCGTGCAGGGGGAGGGGAGATGGAAGAGAGAATCTCGAGCAGATTCCATATTGAGCACAGAGCCCAACACAGGGCTCAATCTCACGACCCTGAGATCATGACCTGAGCTGAAACCAAGAGTCAGACGCTCAACCGACTGAGCCACCCAGGCGCCCCTTCCTAACTTGTCCTATATGCCTCTCCCAACACACCGGGGTGGACACACACACACTTTCTCTCCAGCGAGCTGATGCTTGTATCTATCCATCGTCATCAGCAGGATTAGAGCAGCCTTTCTCAAACAGATCTGTGTTTTGGAGTGAGGGGACCGCCTTGGTTATCAAAGGCCTTCTTGTCTGCTAGTGGCTTGAATTTGACTCCTACCTTAGCTCCTGTAGGCTATGTGAGGAGTGTGCTAGCTTTGGAGCCAGCCCTGAGTCAGAATCCTGGACATGGGCAAGTTATCTAAGCCGTCAGAAGCTTTGCCTTCCTCCTGAAATAAACAATTTTACATACCTGCCTACCTCATGAACTCCCTGCTCAGGAGCTCGCTGGGAGGATTAAATGAGATAATGCATATGGAGCCTCCGTCACATGACATCGTACACACAGGCCCATGGCTTTCCTGATTCTTGACTCTTCAGCTCTCAACTCTCTGCCTTCTTGCTTTCATGCCCTCTTGGTTGCTATCTGTCTCCAACTTGATGAAAATGGTAATTTGCTGTACTGTTTCTTGTTCTGACTGATTCAACCTTGCCCAGACCCATAGCTTTGCAAAAATCCTAAGTCCGGATTGCTTGTCTCCTTCTGATCCCTGACTCCACTTGGCTCTGCAGCTTCTCAGTTCAGTCTGGATCCTTTCCCTGACTCCCCATCCTGTCATCTATGACCAGGTGCAGCTGTGCTCCTGATGCTGACAAACAAGGATCCAACCATCATTAGGGATGGGACTAAAATTCCCAAAGGGTAATGTATTTCCATGGGGATCACACCCCAAGGAGCCTGCCAATCTCAGGGTATAGTCACCTAAAAATAAGTCCCCTCTGGGAGACTTCCCCAACACTCTGACTCACATCATCAGAAACTCATCACCACCACCAACACACCTGCCGAATACAGCTGGGGGAGTGTAAGGAGAGTGTACGCATGCAAGAGAAATTCATTTCTAGAGGCAAAAATAGTGTTTTATGTAAGGACAATATGGAAGAGTGGAAAAAACTTCTGGTGTTACATGGTAATAATTTCAGTATCTTTTCATGTTTATTTTTTCTACCAGTTTCATAATTCCAAATCCCAGCTCCTGAAATATCTGTGGGAGACAGAGGAGAACAGCTTGTTCTTTTGGCAGTCAGCTCCCTCCGGTTCCTATTTTCAATTACCAAGGGGACAAGGTAGAGCATCTCCTTGACTGAAATAAAAAATAAGAAGAAATACAAAAATTTCTATCTCTGCAGTGCCCAGCACAGTGAGAAGACCCTTGACTACCATAGTTCCTTTCTGGAAATGTAATTCAAGCTCCATCTGAGGGAGCAGAAGCTCTTCCCTGCTTTCAGCCACAATGCAGGTTTTCTCCAGCTCCTTTTCATTCCGCAGGCATCTCTGGTGTTTAGTATGCTGAGCTTGGGCAAAGTGTCTTTTTCTGGGAAGCCCGCGGCTCACCTCTGCCACCTCGCATGTAAATGGGCTCTCTAAGCCAGTAAGCTTGTCAAAGGGGCCAGCACTTGCAGAGGACATCACCCCCAGCAGACTCTCAGCCTGCCCCGAGACTCCAGGCCTTCGCATGCATCTACCTCCCTTGGTACTGTTTTATGGGGGATGAACACAGGAAATAAAATGGGGGAAGACAACGCCTACTGCACTTCTGCTCTCAACTGCACGTCGTGCTGTGGAGGGAGGGAATGGGAGGAACCCAAAATGGCACCTAGGAAGATGGAAATTCACTCCTCCCTCCCACTGCCCACACACGTTGACGCAAGTCCCAGTCAAATCGCATTAACTAGTAAATACCCATCAATCCAGAGCAAATAGTTTGCTTGTGTTCACATTATTGTTCTCAGTCTATTCCCAGTCCTGTTTTCCTAGGGCCTCTCAGAAATCCAGCAAGATGTGTGTGCTCTTTCCATCAAAGAGGGAGATAGTGTGTCGGTGTCTTTTGGGCAAGTTGTACTGATGTGATCCACAATGTTCTGTATGCTTCGTTCCCTCAGAACATTCCTGTTCAGGGTGGTTCCTTATTAACTTGTCCCTGTTCTCGCAGGAATGCAGGCTCCCTCGGTGCCAGGGACACACACCTTCTGTATCTCTGTATCCTGAGCACCAACACAGTGCTTGGCTCATAACACCCAACAGAGAAGGTCTTCTGGTGAACACCTGGCCTCTGCAGGGAAGGGCTCAGGTCACACGCTGTGGTGGAAAGCACGTGCGAGCTCTGGGAAAGGACAGACTTAGGTTTGAACTGATGTTCTACCCCATTAACAGTGAATCTCTGGGCTCTATATCTTCACTGAGCTTGGGTAAGGACAATTCCAACGATGGTTTCTGGGGTGTTGTAGGACATAGTGAGATTAGGTACATACAGTTCTGGGCATTTAGTAGGCTCAAAATATCCATGTTTCTACTTTTTACAACATATTCGTTATTGATTACTAATGGAACTGCAAAATGGCTTGTAAAAATGTAAATATAAAATTGTACCATGAGGTATTTATGGACTTGCTCATTGTACATCATTAGCAACTGTGATGGTCTGGGTGGTCTTAGACCAGTGCTCTCAATCTTGGCTCACATTAGATCTGCAGAACTTTAAAAATCACCATGTCCTTGGCCATACCCCAGAGCAGTAACAGGAGACTCTCTGAGGGTGGGACCCAGGCACCAGGAAGTCTTAAAGTTCCCAGAGTGATTCAACATGCAACCAAGATGGGAAACCACTGGGTAAGGTGGTACCATGGCCAGCAACCCAGGAACAGAGATATTCTTTATGCTATACTCGGTCAGCAGAATGGTTGGCACTGTGTTTGTTTATGGCCCAAGGCTACAGCTAGTAATGTCACTGTACTTTCCTCTGCTGCCAGGCTGAGGGTACCACTTTAACTCCCTCAAGGAGAGAGAGGTGGCTATGGTCTAGGGTAAGATCTAGCTATTCCCGCCTATGCTACCTGGAGGTGTTCTTTGTGCCTTCATATCAGCCTGCCTCAGTGAGAGACTAGCCCTCCCCTCCTCACTCCTCATTCTGGGCCACTCCCTCAATGTAACACCTGGCTCAGAAATGACAAAGTCCTCTAATCGGGTTTTTAGATCGGCATTCTCAAGCCTGGATGTACAAGAGAATCATCTGGGAAGTTAAAAAAAAAAAATCTGGGTCCATTCCAGACCAATTAAGCAAGACTCCCTGAAGGGTGGGGCCCAGACCTTGGTCCTTGTAAGTTCTGCAGGTGATTCTGAATCTGCAGCCAGACCGAGAACTCCCGTTGCACATCTACATCCTCTTCCCTTCCACTCAGCTCCCATCAGATCCACATTCCCATGAACCCCAGAGTAGCTTCCATTTTGGAAAAACACAGGCCTTTTCTCTCCTTTTATGATGCAAGTGAAATTATTTGTAGCCCCTTATTTTTTCCTACGTCTGTTCCACCACATTGATGTTCACTCCATTAACTAAGCAAATACTCTTACTGAAAACATGCAATGTACCAGACATCAGCACTCTGCCAGATGCTGGGTATGGAAAGAGAATGAAGAAAGAGTCCTGTCCTCACGCTGTTGGAGAAGCTACAAGGACACATGGCTGCAGGAGAAGGCAGTGCGAGCTAGAATACAATTGTAACAAATCACAGATACCAAGCTTTCTTGAGCCCTTACCATGCTCACGCATTATTGCCCTGCATCGTCATGATGACCCTGTGATCTGGGTATTCTTACAACTGCCGTCTTCTGGGGGAAGGTGAGGCTTGGAAAGACTGGGCAGGGAGGGTGTGGCCGGGTCCCAAGCCAGGCACTGTTCCCCTCCCAGCCATACTCTGAGCTCTATGCTCAAGAAGAAGGATTCACACCAAACTTCATTTATTTTTTACTTATTTTCAAATGCTAGGGCTGGGTTCTTCCCAACACAGTAAAAACTTTAAGTATCATTGCCACAGATCCCAAAGATTTTCATTTAAAAACCTTGCATAAAGAAAGCTTGGTGCTTTGATTAGATCACAAAAGCAACACATCCATGAGATGGGCGGCTCTTCTGATTCCTCAGGCCACATGGAATAGTTACATGGTCAGACTGCACTGGAGAGACCTGCGGCCTAGCCACTGGGGGTGGGTAGGCTGACTCATCATGGCAAGCACGAACTAGAGGGGACTGTAGGAATCCAGGCCCACCTCCCACACTAGACAGAAGAAGAAAGGTCTAAGGAGAAAGAACGGGAACTTTCCAAAGGCAGGCTGCTAGCTGATGGTGAAACTGGACCTTGACTTCAGCCAGCGTGTCTTCTCCAACTTGACTCTTTCCAGCAAAACCTGGCCCCTCCCCACTCCCACTTCCTGGCCGAAATAGAAAATGCTACAGCTTGGAGAGAATGATGAGCAAGTGGAGCAAGTGTTCCTGTTTTGCCTTCTGTTCTCAAGGCTAGTGCTGACTTGAGCAAAGGCTTTGCTTTGGTTAGAGCCACTGGCACACCAGAGGGATTTAGTGGGACCTGCCTCAATGTCACAAATTGCACACCTGAAAATAAGTGTGTGGCACTTCCCTACTTCCATTTAGTCCTACCAAATCACAGCATAAGCCCTTCATTAATTCATCACAGAGGGCTAAACACCAACCAAAAGCTTAATTTTGTTAATTGTCTTTTTTCTAAGACAGCAGCTTATTTTACCTTGAATTCAAATATAGTTTATTAGACACATATCATCAATGACTAAGATATTTGCTGCCTCAGTTAGGGGTCTCTGAAGTCCTACATTCCTCAACCCCCCAGGGACAAGACCCTGCCCTGCTGGGCCCACCCTCAACCTCCACCCCACCCCTCAGCTCCAGCAGAAGCCTGCTCTCCCTTCCTCCGAGCCAGAGACAAGGTAGAGGCCTCCTTAGCAGGACCCAATATTCAGCAGCAGACAGGAAGTGAGCATCCCTGAAAGCCCCAGATGCATTCCCTTCGAAGCCTCCTGGACTATGCCAGCTGAATAGCTAGCTACCCCCGGCTAGCTGGGGTAGAAGCAGGGGAACAGCCAGTCCCAGCACAGAGGGCTCAAGAGGCCCATCAAGTCTCTTTTGACAAAGCCCATTTCTAGATCAGGACACTGGGTGTGGGCAGCTCATCTGCTGAGGGTGTTTTCACCCATTCAGCCCGCAAGGTGCAGGAGGCTGCCAAGCACTGCTAACCCACAGTCACAGGCCGTCTTGAGGGACTGCCAGCTCCTGGTCGGCTTTCCGTTACCATGGAGACCTGGCTCTTGGGACAGAGAGGGGCTTGCCTGGGTCACACCAGCACCTGGGTACAAAGTGCCGCAGTTTCCAGCAGACCAGCTTCCCCTCCTGCCAGATGCATCAATACCGAGGGACAAAGGTTGAGCACCCCTGCAAGGCCTCTCTGTCCCAGCCTCTCTCCCAGGTCCTGCACATTCTCTCATGGTTCCTAGCCTTAGCTGGGAGCCAGCTATCGTGAGTCTCAGGAGCGTAAGCTCTACCGTGAAACCCTGAGTCCAAGGTTCTCAGCTGCAGAGAAAGGATCATGGTTCCTCCTCCTTCCCTAATAAAACCTTGAAGATGTACAAGCCATTGCCAAGCATGTGTCTCAAACTTTCGCAGGCACATGATTTCCCTGGAGATTTTGTTAACACACAGATTCAGATTTGTAAATCTGCGATGAGGGCTGGGATTCCTCCACCTTTTTAATGGGCTCTTAAGCGATGCTGGTGCTGCTGGTCCGGGGGCCCTCACTGTGAGTAGATCCTAGATCCGTGGTGCGCCAGCACCCCCTGGAGGGCTTGGCAGAAACACAGACTGTTGCGCCCCACCCCGAGAGATTCTGAGCCGGCAGGTTCTGTGGACTTTTAAACTTGCCTGGGGATCTCAGTCCTGGCTGCGCCATGGATCGCCCGAGGAGGTTTTTCGGTTGATGCCCAACTCCCATTCAGATGTAGTTAAGTCAGGATCTCTGGGCTTGGGGCCTGGCACTGCCATTTTTAAAAGAGCTCCCAGTGCCCCCGCTGCCCCGACCCCAAGAGACTGCAGTGGGAGCGGTCCTTCCTGGACTATACTGAGTAAACAAGCCTGGGCAGCTGCAGCTGTTTGCAACACAAACAAAGAATCACGGAAGGACGATGCTGAGCAGGCAAACAGAATTTACCAGACTGTCTTTCCTCCAGTTAGAGTTAGAAGTCTCTTTGAGTGCTGTTATTTATTCTTTCAGGTCCTTAAAACAAACACTGTCCCCTATAGTCCCGTTTGGGGGCTAACGTCTGCTGGGAATCTCATGATTCTAAATAGCCTTCAGAGTCAACAGGGACATGGCCAACTGTGTTTTTAAGAGCTGATGGCCTGAACCCCCGTCTGACTCTTCCCGGAGGGTCAAGAACCAGAGGCAAGGAGGACCCGGGGCTGGGGGGTAGGCCGATGGCAGGGCAGGGTGTAGAGACTGTGTCCCAGCACTCTACTAGCATGTGTCCCTGTGAGTGACTTCTTGTCCTCTGAACTATCTGGATCACAGGACTGCCATGGCTCTCTCTGGTTCTAATACCGAAGGCCATTGTGGAGAGCACTAGGTGTCCCAGGAAGGGTTCATGCATTTGCTGGAGAGAAAGTGCATAAAGCTTGAACATGAAAAGAAGTGAAATCTGGGTGACTCCGCCGTGGTTTCTTGAGAAGTTATAAAATTCTATGACCCTGCATAAATTTTTATCAGCACTTCTAACACACACAGACCAGTGATTTAAAAAAAATAAAGGTGGGGGGCTTTTTGAGAGGCCTGAACTGGAGACCAGGAGCCACCCTGGGGGTGGAAGACAGGAGAGGGGGCTGAGGGGTTGAAGAGCAAACATCTACAGGTTTGAATACAATTCACACAGCAGGCTGGCTGCTTCTGGAGCCTGCCTGTTTGTTTCTGGAGGCCATTTTTTCTGAGTCTGTGCAAATTTGTTTTCCCCATTCTCTGCACAGTACCAGGAGACCCTGGCCCTATCCTCCTCTCTACCAGAGCCTAACTGGGCAATCTCGGACAAGTGATTCCAGTTCTCACGCATCAGTTTTCTTTAAAGTGGCAAACATCTCTGTCCCCGTGTCTGGGGGAATAAAGCGGATGAGCAGAGTGGCCATGCCGGCTGGAGTCGGGCTGGCATGCTTGTTTTCATCGTCTCCCTGTCGCAAGGAGGAGGATGGGGGAGCTCACCCACCTGAGGCCTGGACCTCCATGATGTACTGGTGCAGATCTTGCCCTTGCTGGATGACCTCGAAGGTCATGTTGTTCATGGCTAGCTTCCGCTCCGTGTGGCGCTGCAGCCGCTGCTCGGCCAGCGTCAGATCCTCCGTGTTGAAGTCATTCATCTGCCGGAGCAGGTCCTCATTCCAGGCATCCAGCTCTGCCGTCACCTGTAAGGGAATGACTGTCAGGACCGGCTCACAGCTCCATGAGAGACTGCGAGACTGAAGCCTCAGTCGCCAAGCCCATCCTTGGATCCATCTCCACTTTGCGGGTGTTGGACTCCTGAACCCAGGTGAAGCCCCAGGGCACGCCTGTCACTTCACTCTCCACTTGTTTCTGTGTCTATAGCCGCAGCCAACAAACTGCAGCAAATGCTGGGTAAGTTACAGTCCATCAAGTTTTTGCATATGCCATCCTGTTCCACCACCCCACCCCCATGACCTGAAGAGGCAGGTAGTGGGGAGATCTCCAGGTACCTCTTACCGAGAAGGAAGCTGGCCTTCGCTCAGACAGATGCAATCTGCCCAGAGCTCACCCTGCTGGTGAGGCGCACGCCTGCAGACAGAGCTCAGTTCTTCTGACTGCAAAGGCTTTGTATGCCATACCACAAGGGCTACTCTAAAAATCACATCACTGGAGAGGACCTCGGAAAGCAAATATGGAGCCTCCCTCTTTCCCAGACACAGAAACTGAGGGTTGGAGAGACCTGTGAGTGGCCGGAGGTTATACACTCAGAGCTGGTGTCCATCAAGCCCAAGGGTCTCCTTGTGGTTCCCTTATTCGATCATGCAGGATGCTCTCTGCAAAGGCTGACACCTGGACATGGTGACTCAAGGTGTCAACAGACTGCGGATGTCTAGAAATCCCAAGCAGATTATACGCTGTCAAAAGGCGTAATGATTCTACTGAAGATGGAAGCACGTAATGAATGGAAACTGCTCTCTCATGAACTTGCTAACTGGTTTCTGCCCTACACCCTCGCTCAGGTGACCCCTGGTCCACCCTCACAGAAGTGAATGCCCAGAGAGACTGAATTCTACGCTTCTTTTACAAAAGCCGCACTCCCCAACAGGACCCAGCAGAGCCGAAAGAGCACTGGAACATAATCTTTGAGTCAGAGAACTCCCTGATATGTTTACAGGTCCACTGTCGCATGCTCAAACCTGCTCGGTAGCCCTGGGACGGCCACGGCACAGGGACTATCACTTCTTGTCTGAGAAGAGGAAATGAAAGCCTCACCCCCTAGCAGTGGCACGATGGCCCAGGCAGCCCAGGCACAAATCCCAGAGCCCCTGCTCAGTGATTTGTATTATGGTGTCTCCCCCACACCACTGACATGGGACATGACCTCCCCAGCTGACCAGCACTGCCATTCTGGGAAATCAGGGGACAGGGAGTGGGGGAAAAAGAAAACCAGCTTGAGGCAGCTGGGAAATGGCATACTTAACATCCCTCGCTGGGACCGTGTGGACTAGGATGGGAAAGGCAAGCAGTCTGGTGTGAGAGGCTGCCATCTGGGGCACACGACTCCATTTGTGTCTAACAGTAAGACCTTTCTTCATGGAAAGGGTAGTTGCTATCTTGGAAGCAGAGATGGGGGAATTGTAAAAATACCATCTTTATCATCCTAGGCTCCCATCTCATTGCCCCACATCTTTTCAGGTCAACTAAGGAACCCACGGAGCTCAGTGGGAAAACCTATTACCTACTTATCCTGGGGAGTCCTTGGGGATCTGGGAACCAGCAGGCTGACAGGTAAGACAGGGTTTTGTTGTATCCCATCTTTGAAAAGGACTTCATTCTCTAACTAGAGAAGGAGTTAAACAGAGAAGAGTAAGAGAAATAATAGATTTATAATTTATGGGATGAATAAGCTTATCTAGATGAGGCCTCTAAATATATGTTTTTCCTTCCTGTATTTAAAAAAGTTGAAGTACGATTTACATATGATAAGATGCATATATTTAATTAAGCATTCAGTTCTAGGAGTTTTGACTCATTTTATCCATCCATGTGGCCATTACCAAAGACAAAATAGGAACGTTTCCATCAGCCTAGGAAATGTGCTGGTTGTGCCCCCTTCCAGTCAATTCCTGCCCATCCCCACCCCCTGGCAGGCCTCAGGTACCACTTTCTGATTTCTATCACTGCGGATATAGTTTTGCCTACTCTTGGATTTCATACTAATGAAATCATACAGTATGTACTCTTTCAGGTCTGGCTTCTTGTATCCAATGTGCCACATTTAAGATTCATCCACGTTGTCGTGTGTATGAGCAGTCCATGCCTTGCTGCTGCTGGGTACTGTCCCATTGTGTAGACAGACCACAGTTCATGTATCCATTCTCTGGCTGATGGCCACTTGGGTTGTTCTCAGTGTTTGGCTATTATGAGTATGGCTGATGTGAAAGTTCTTATTCAAGTCTTTCTGTGGCTATGGGTTTTCATTTCTCTTGAGAGTTCCCTAAAGTGTGATCCTAGGGTCCTATGGGAGGTATGCGTTTGACATTCCCAACAGCAATTCTATATCCAGTGGGAATATATGAAGGTTCCCCTCACCATCATTAGGTATCATCAGTCTCTTTAGTCATCCTGGTGGGCATGAAATGATATCTCATTATGGTTTTAGGTTACTAATCATGATGGGCATATTTTTATACACTTACTGGCCATTTGTATTCACTTTTGTAAACTGTCTTTTCACATCTTTTCTGAAAAGAGGTTAATTATCTTTGGCTCATGGATTTGTAAGAGCTCTTAATATATGCTAGATAAGTCCTTTATCAAATAAATGTACTGACAATGGCCAAATAACAGTGTTTTTTTTTAACCTACTTCTTGGCCTGTAAACTAAGAGAGATGAGAATAAAACTAAGACAACAAGCATGAAAGGAAGAACCTGTCTTTTCTTTCAATTTTAGTTTTCATTTTGTTTCCCGGAAACTGAGTCTGTGCAGGGTCTGTTTGCTGCCGGAAGGACCCCGAAGGGGTCTGAAGGTGGGGGTCTGCGGACTGCAGAGTGTTGAGAGTCCTTGTGAGGAAGGAGAAGCAGAGCAAAGCTGAGCTGCTTCATTTGAGAGAGTGAGCCTTAGAGATCTGGCATCTTGGGAATCTGAATCTACCAAATGTGAAATATGTTTAGCATTCTGAATCTGGTGTTTCTGTATTCTTTCCTCTTCCCTCCCCTCCTCTACCCTTACCACCTTGACGTCATTAAGCTGAGGGACCTTGCCTGTTATGAAGCCCAAAGAATAAGACTTTCAAGGGGCCATTCAGCAGATCAGCCTGATTCCTAAGCCCATCTTCCCGGGTTCTACTCTCTTTTCTCTCTGTTTGACTCACTCTTCCCATTATCCCCAAGCAGCGATGCCCAGATCCTTGAAATAGTCTGATCTGTGTATTTCTAATATTTGCTGGAGTTTATTTTCTTTCCTTTTTTCTGTTCCATCAGAAAATGTTCTTTCACTGCCTTCTTCTTCCTGACCTTCTTTCAGGGTACAAGGCTGGCACACAGCAAGAGCACTTTCTTTAATGAAAAACCTTCGTTTTTAAACCTGAAGCTTACCTACTGTTAATAAACAAACCTCACTTTCCAGCCTTACCTCATGTTCTGCTACAGAAACCAGTCAGCCCGTTACTCGCGGACCCTGAGAGTTGGCTCCCGCCCTCTCTAGCCTGTTTCCCTGGTGTGATAGCCTTGAAACGCTCTTGTTTTTTCTCCCAGTCTACTCAAATCCTCACTGCCCTTCAAAGTACACCCTCTGACGTGAAGAGCTTCATGACCACCCCCAGACCTAAAAGTTTTTCTCTGGCTTATCTTATAATATCAGACATAGACTTGTTTGCTCATATAGAGACCGTGAAAAGAAAATCCAGGGAATTAATTCAGCTATTTAACTCCATTTGGAAAAGAAACCTGAAAGAATTTGTTCAGGGCAGAAAGCAGGGCCTGAACCAAATGAATGAAAGATAGAACCGAGTTGCCCACAGGGCATTCAGCTTTCAATCACTCCATTTTGCTTTCTTCTTCCACTCAATTAGGTCCATCTCAGCTCTGGCCCACTCAGTTCCCCTCTTGGCTCCAGTGGCTCCTGTCTCCCTCACTCTCCTGAATTAATTGGAGCATTAGGATACAATGACCTCTTTGAGAGATACATTGGCAATATTTCTAATCTAACAACTGTCTACTCTAGAGCCATAGCCATAAGGAAAATCAGAGAAGGAGTGAAAGAGAAAGAAAGGATAAGAGGCAGTGGGAAGTGGGAAGTGGGAAGACTCGCTTCAAAATAAAGCCCAAGACTTCCCTGCCAGAGGAGATTTATTGAATCCAGCATTCTTCAGGCACAGACTGACGCGAGGGACTCGGTTTAGCAGCTGCCTTGGGCTCTGCTCTGAGGGTGCCCTCTCCACTGGCTCCTCCTACTTTCTGGGTCTCCCCTGCCCCTCCTGACGTTTTATTCTGTGCTTGCCTGAATCAAAACTCGCCTGTCATCTTTCTTCCCTTTTCCTATGGTCTATTCCCATCTATTTGGTTCTCTATTATCACCTGCGAAGTTGGAAATCCCACTGTGTTGTCCTTTTCTCCAAATCATGTGAAGATGAATCAGGATGATGACCGTGGGTTGAAGAAGGTATTGATCTTGTGCAGACATATTTCATTTATTGCACTTTGCTTTATTGAACTTCCCAGATGCTTTGGTTTTTTTTGTTGTTGTTGTTTTTTGTTTTTTTACAGATTGAGAGTTTGTGGCAACCCCGTGTTGAGCAAGTCTACTGGTGCCATTTTTCCCACAGCATTTGCTCACTCCATGTCTGTGTCACATTTTGGAAATTCTCACAACATCACAAACTTTTTCATGATTATTGTATTTGTTGTAGTGATCTGTGGTCAGCGATCTCTGGTGTTACTATTATCATTGTTTTGGAGCACCACGGACCACACTCAAGTAAGATGGAGAACTTCGTACCTGTGTTCTGACTGCTCTGCCAACCAGCCATTGTCCTGTCTCTCTCCCTCTCCTCAGGCCTCCCTATTCCCTGAGACACAACATGGAAATTAGGCTAATTAATAACCCTGCAATGACCTCTAGTGTTCAAGTGAAAGGAAGAGTCCATACATCTCTTACTTTAAATCAAAAGCTAGAAATGATTAAGCTTCATGAGGAAG